ACAAGGGGGTGGGGGGGATCTTGATTCTTGAGGCCACTTACCATCTATCTTGTTTGGATTTTTTCTTACATGGTGCACTTTTTAGGGTTCCAGTGATTGGGGTGGAAGGCAGTGACACAGTGGTGGAGTGTCAGAGGGAGGGAGGAGGCAGCGGCAGAGAGGAAGGAAACGAGGATAACGTCACGAAGACCCGGAGTAAAACGGACCGAGCAGCGTCTAATGGACGATCCTTGAAGCGGGCCGGGGGACGCTCCGTGGACAATTCTGCCCGTTTACGCCGTTTTGGATCATTATGGTTTGGTGTGCTCTGCGGCCATGAGAAGAGGCGACGCGTGTGCGTGAGGAAACGTTTGCGCGGAGCGGCAGATCTCATCTTTCTCTTCTTTTCTGTTCCCTTTTTTTTTCTTCCCCCGGAGCTGCTGTTAAGCGGAGAAATGGAAATGTGTGCAGCCCTCCCCCGTTTGCCTGTTTGCTGAAGGGCTCGGAAACAGCCTCATCGTGACACACGCAACTTTCTCAGAGGATCTCCTCCGAACTTCGTCTTTAATGCGTATGAGAGACAGATATTTGAATCCTCCTCGACGATTTGGGGACGCTGCTCTCAGTGCTGTGTAAAAAAAAACTACCCAGAGAATTAACAGGTAGCCCACCCCTCCCCAGAGGCTGACAGCAGCCGCACAGTCGGCCCGTTTTTAAGATGGCAGGGTGGTGATGTGCGCATTTATGGCTTCGTTTTTGGCCAAATGATCAGATGTTTGCGGGTGCGTCTGCGTTTTACGAGCTCCCTGCTAGAAGAGAGATGGAGTCCAGGCCTCCGCCGCTGTGCTGATCAATGGTTTCGCATCCGTAGGGCCAGTCCTGTGATGTGGCTGTCAGGGAAATAAAACATCCCCACCAAGTGCGTGTGTGGCCTTTGCTACCGCTGTCCGTTTGGTGTGGATGTTTTATTTCGTATGCTGGCCGTGCACGCGGATTCTGTGACAAACACCTTCTCTGTGGTGCGTGCGCGGTGGCTGAGGCTTGGCACGCTGCTCTGGCTGCAGATGGAGCCTCTGCTATGGTGCTGTGGTTAACGATCAGATGTGTTCCAGAGGGGTGGGGCCAGCCAGCCCTGGGATCTGTGATTTTTGTGTCACCATGTGTTATGAAACATGCCCTGAGAGGCTTGTAAAGCCATCACCAAAAAGGGAAGGTAGCCTCCTCCTATCTGCTGCTGAGTTCCACACCGGTCCAGGTGGAATCTGTGTCTCTCTCCTCCCTTTTTTTACTCACCTACATGACTTCATCGTGAATCCGCTTGTCTTCCGGTCGATGCTCACAAGCAGCATCTGGCTGGATCCATCCAGGCCTGATATCTTTTCCTCCCTCCCTTTTTTTCCCTTTTTTTTTGCTCTCATCATGGTCTAAATGAGCAGCTGTGCCAGGAGACCCGGGCCCATGATGCACCCCTTTTGGCGTCCATTAAGGCTGTGTGATCCATCTGGTCGCAGGTCTCTCCAGGGAGCTGTTGCTTAATGCTCTTCATTGCATTGTGCACTCTATGCATGTATCCATGAGGGTTCTCAGGAATTTAAATGGCTCCTCAACGAAAACCAGGCTGAATGAGTATCTGTGATTTTACAATAAAAGGAACGGGAAATTCTGCTTCCCACTAAAGCATGATGTGGCATACAGATAGCACGGCCACGCCGACACACAAATGGGAATAGTGAGAATAGTAAGAATGCTGGGTTACAGTGTTATCAAAGGATGTAGCAAGCAAAGATACATTTTGATGGAGTCAGACTGATCTGGACACGCACGGCTTTGCTCTCTCTCACCGCTGTAGTCGATGGTATCCCAGTTATGTCAGATTATTCTCAATATTTAAACCCCACACGGTTGCACATTTGCTATAGTAAACAATTTGGGCCAGGGATTACAGGATTAGGAACGCATGAAACTGTGATAATCCCAAATTGGACTGGGATGATGCTTTATTTAAATCGGATTCCAACAGTTAAAGTTATGCTGTAACCAACAGGTGATCAGCTCGGACAATTTTAAAAATGAGTGAGTTGGAGCAGCTTCGCCAGGAAGCCGAGCAGCTTAAGAACCAGATCAAAGTGAGTCACATCTTTATAGATTTTAGTCTTATCTTAACATTTTGATCGATTGCGTTGGAGTCTCGTAATTTTTTCTCTCTTTTTTCTTGTCCGTTAGGATGCCAGGAAAGCGTGTGGAGATTCAACCCTCACACAGGTAAAAGCTACTAAATGTGCCATAATGAGATTTGTTAGTCATTTGGGAGCCTTGATTACCCATGGTCATCGATATGCAACAGTTACTGATACACCTTACAGTATACTGGAATAATGAGAGGGCGGTTTTGCATCTGTCATGCAAACCGTTGGAGGGTTGGAGCGTATGGAAAGTTACCGGAACTATGGGAAGGCATGTGCAGGTTTTAGAGCAGCTTTTCTCACCCAGACGCTGACTCTTTCATGAAGTCTATTCCTGAACAATTTTTGTATTCAGAATCTTACATTTCTCATCTTTAGTGTGGAAGTTGAGTTGAAATGTAAATGTAATTAAATTGATCACTAACTCTAATTAGATGGCTGCTGGTCTGGATCCTGTTGGACGGATTCAGATGCGAACTAGACGCACCCTCCGTGGCCATCTTGCCAAGATCTATGCCATGCACTGGGGCACAGACTCAAGGTGAGACTGCAGTCTCTTCTACTCTATGTCTTTAATTTCTTAGCAGGTGAAATCAACCAACAAAACCCATCTCAGCTCTATGGCTTCTTACAACTTGAGATGCCAATCTTTCTATTAACTTTCCTTTGCAACTAATAAAAGACAAAAATGAAGAAAGCCTAGAATATGCATTTTTATTTTATCAGAGTGAGAGCAGGTGTTTGCTACAAAAGACCTGACCTTCATCTGCTCTATACACTTTTGCTTTTCATAGAGCTGAAGTAAAAAATAAAAAATAAAAAGATTTATTAGAGAGAAAAATAAGAACTAAAGAAATCTGTTTCACGTAGATGTTTTATAAATACTATCAGACAGAGTCTTGGTGGGGACCATGATAAAAAGGATGCCATAGAAATACTAGTAAATTAGGTAACAATCCATATGAATTAAAGTTTTATGTCTGTGATATTGTTACATATTTCATATTTTGGAAACTGTTTTTAAAGTTCTCATCACTGCAGGCTTCTGGTTAGTGCCTCTCAGGATGGAAAACTGATTGTCTGGGACAGCTACACCACTAACAAGGTAAAGTGAAGCGTTCTTTATACAAACAGTTGTATTTTAGTTCCATGTGAACCTGCTGGGTTACTCACCAAAGACTCCAGGCATCAAATACAGCTGCACCGTGTAGTTGACATTTACAGTTGAACGGTTTAGTTATTTGTCACGTCCAAAGAAGTACAAAGTACACATTACATCGGAGTTATCTTTAATGCAAAAAAACTTAAATATTTTGGAGGAAGCTGCAGTGTGAAACTGTGTGAGGGGTGTAGAGAGCGTACGAACTCTTAGCCCATTTCCATGATCGTGTTAACACTTTGTTGTGATAATGCTTTTTCCCTCCCAGATCCACGCCATCCCCCTACGCTCCTCCTGGGTAATGACCTGTGCTTACGCCCCCTCTGGGAACTACGTGGCCTGTGGGGGCCTGGACAACATCTGCTCCATCTACTGCTTAAAGACACGCGAGGGCAACGCCAGGGTCAGCAGGGAGCTGCTCGGCCACACAGGTGAGAGGCTGGGCTCCACTCGTCTTCTTCTGTCACACAGTCTAATGACACGTTCCAAACCAGTGCCTACACCTCACCGGCGTCCCGGGAAAGCTCCACTCCCAAACCTCTAGACAATGAAGAACTCATTAGGATGTGTAATTAATCAGAGGGTAATGCACTCCTAATAGGCTGGGACATCAGCTCCTTTTTATGAGATTGATAAATGACACAGTGGCTCCTGCACTTCATTCACATGTAAACACTTTGATTTACTCTGGCTGCACCCTCACAGGATCGAGCTGAATGTTTGCTATATAAATGTGTAGACTTCTAGTAAACACAGGGAAGGCACTTTGTCTGGTAATTCATGATTGTATATGCTATACACAAAATATACAGCATGTGTAATAAAGAGCCAGTTCCAGTCATGATGGCGCTCTTTTTTCGCTTTCTGTTGGACTGGTCAAGTCCAGACGAGAGGAGCCCTTACAATCTCAATTAGGTCGGACAAAAAGATTTGGATTGAAATCCTCCTGTCAGACACCGGACTGCCACGCTGACACCCGGCACTGGAACTGAAGCACCACTAACGTCTTCCCTTTGACCTCAGGTTACCTGTCCTGTTGCCGTTTCGTCGACGACAATCAAATCATCACAAGTTCAGGAGACACCACCTGGTGAGTTTCCGCCGGCCGAATCCCCGCTCGGCTCGAGCGCGGCTCCCGGGAGCCGCTGGCCTCTGACCGCTGACCGCCTCCCTGCTCTCTGCCCCAGTGCGCTGTGGGACATCGAGACGAGTCAGCAGACCACGGTGTTCTCGGGCCACACCGGCGACGTCATGAGCCTCTCGCTGTCGCCAGACCTGCGCATCTTTGTGTCGGGGGCCTGCGACGCCTCGGTCAAGCTGTGGGACATCAGGGACAGCATGTGCCGGCAGACCTTCACGGGCCACGAGTCGGACATCAACGCCACCTGCGTGAGTGCGCCGGGGGGGGGGGTACCATGTGACCCGAATGCAAAAGGCTTTTAGAACAAGTGTGTGAGGGTACGAGACAGCCACAGTCTGTTAATTAAAAAAACAAAACAACCAGGTTTGATCACTTGAAACTTGGGGGCAGTAGCTGAGACTGGCCAATGGAGGAGCTCTAAGACGGACGGGTTTGGTTTTGTGGACATCCCTCACCGTCTTTTCTCCTGCGGTGGGAGATCTTAACGGCCTGTCTGCTCCCCGACAGTTCTTCCCCAACGGGAGCGCCTTCGCCACGGGGTCGGACGACGCCACCTGCAGACTGTTCGACCTGCGGGCCGACCAGGAGCTCAGCGTCTACTGCCACGACAACATCATCTGCGGCATCACCTCCGTGGCGTTCTCCCGCTCCGGCCGCCTGCTGCTGGCCGGCTACGACGACTTCAACTGCAACATCTGGGACGCCATGAAGGGAGACAGAGCGGGTGAGTGGAGCAGTCCAGAGAAAACAGGCCAGCGAGCGCTTAGTTTAACACAGAAGAAGGTCCTTTAAAAAGAACCATTATTCATGTCCAAAGGTTATGGAAGAGATGAAAAAAGCTTAATGGCCAAAACAGCCCACGTGATGTGTTTTTCTGTATCCAGAACTGACCCAAAAAATAGTCAGTAACCCAATTAGAGATTGTACAAGTTATGCAACACTTTCAAAATGCATGCTGGAATATTTGATTAAGTTTATTAGCAAAAGTTATTCAATATGAGTTAAAAGCTATTAGGTTAGAGAAGCAGGCCAAGTCTTGTAGCCACGAAGCTGAGACAAAGTGAAGAGCTGCCCTTCGGCCTAACAAATAAAAACTTTATTTATTTTTTCTTTCTTTTAAATCCTTTCATCTTGGTATCTCCTTAGTAACCACTAAGGCTGAAAGCTGGAGGTCAGACTTGCTGTTATCCAGGTCCTGTGTTGCTTACTTTAGCAGACACGCTTTTACCTGTAAACTACGATCTAATGATTTTTTTCCCCCTCCACTGATCACGATTTCAAGGTAGACGCGACTTGCGAGAAAACAGTCGCAGGCTGACAAGTAGAACTGACTCAGTCCTCACAGAGGGAGATATTTAGCCATAACAAGTGGTCTTTTGTTTTTCCTCGTCCATCTTGTAGGAGTCCTGGCAGGCCATGACAATCGCGTGAGCTGTCTGGGCGTGACTGATGATGGCATTGCGGCATGCACCGGGTCCTGGGATAGCTTCCTTAAGATCTGGAACTGAGCCGTGCACAAATAACGGCAAGCGCGCGCACGTCCAGCGGCCACACACTGCTCCCACCTCGGGACCCAGTTTGCACCCCGTGCTCACACTGTATGTAAGGTTCTACCGCAACATTCGTACTGCTCAAGACTTAGGAGTCTACACACACATCCCCGCCCACACTACGTGGAAGACAAGATGACACGAAACCTGAACACAAGCCCACGCCACCCACTGCTGTTTTAAGTGTACAGCAGCGCACACACACACACACACACACACACACACACACACATTGTAATCTGTAAAATATCCAATGCGACCAAATACAGTTGAATCTGCAGCCGTTCCAATAAAAAACACAAGTACCACTGATACCTGAAGCCTTTTAACACATCTCACACACTCATCCACACACATTTCTCCTGAGAGACGCTGCTCCTCTGGTTAACCAGGGGGGAGGACATTAATGGACAATTCTGTCTTTGTTTACAATGAAGTTCAAAAATGCACTTCAAATTTTTCTGTACCATTTTTGTCTCAGTACATGTATCTTAAGAACGCTAATGTGAAGGAGGAATAAGAGCATTAACACTTAAAAAAAAACACAAAAAAAAATTAAGAATCTGATCCACTGACATGTTGCATATCATGTAGACATTTTTTTTTCAATAGATGCTTACCCCCACCTAATATTTAGCACATCTGCTCAAGGGGATTGTTTTATTTAGCTTATTGTCATTTTGTTTTACTTACTTTCTCCATGCTCTCCTTGTGTGCCTCAGATACACTGATTATTAGAAACTATCGATGCAGTTAAATCAACTAAAAGTGATGTGGAATGAAAGAGGAAAAATTACAGCATACTAAGACGCATCTTTACAGGCAGGAGCCAGTGTTCATGCTTTGACTTTGTCACTGTATTATCTGGACATTATTATGGTATAATTGTACATAATATTAATAAATAACTGCCTCTCCTACCAGCTGTCGTGGTCTCTTTGTGAAAAGGAAAGTTTTTATGATATTGGAAGAGCGGCCTTGTGTAAACAATGACATGTGATTCTGAGGCAGCGGTTCCCAACCTTTTTTTTTTTTTTTAACATCTCCCTAGAGGCACTCTTGCCCTTAGACCGTTTTTACTCTCCATTATTTGTTTTTCCATCCGTGTTCTGCAGTTTGTGCTGCAAGCTGTATAATACCGCCCTCTGCACCCACCTTTTGGTCTTATACAGTGTGTGTAGCGTCTGTAGTCTTGAGCACAGTCAGCTTTTTGGATGAGGCTGTGGACACAGGATAAAGACTTTATTTTCTGCAACTCTACTGACCACATGTATGTCCCAACCTGTGTGCGTCATACCATGCTTTTATAGGTATTTTTGTCTTTAGCCGACAGGTGGTGCTGCTGCTCGCCCCGACTCCTAATGGAGGGTTACAGGCTTTTCGCAGCACAGCACCATGACGTTCTTAAAGACAAATCTACATTTCGGTCGACAACATATAAATATATATATAGAGATAGAATACACTGAGGCAAAGAGTCATCGGAGCCCAAAGAAAGACGGAGACCGAATGAGATTAAGGTCTTTTTATTTTTCAAACAATCTGTATTAAGACATGAATTCATTCAACACAATCTTTTGAAAGTTTAAAGTATCAGTTTATGAAATGCAACCTAGTGTTAACCTCTCACAAGTAACACAGACGCGCGCACACACAAACATTGAAAAACCGTTGGGTATTGTAGTTCTTTCCAAAAGCTGAGGACTCGGAGCTCCCCCAGCTTTTGGTCTGCCTCGCTCTCAGCTTCAGCTGCCAGTCTGTGTTCAGCATTTCTGACCAGGCCTCAAAAAGGCGGTTTAACACCTTTAACGGTTGATGAGTTGACAAAGAAGCAGTTGCTCCTTGTGATAACAAACAAAAGTACAGAAGGATTTCGTAACACGCAAACCAGCCTACATCTAGTCCGCCAAAGGCCACTGGAGAATGTCTACCTGCAAGCCACACTGAGATGGGCAGTCAGGGTTTTGATTTGTTCAATGCTTGTATTGCTTTAAAAAAAAAAAGAAGCGCCATCCCTCCCTCCGATAGTGCCTCTTTCAGATGACGAACGCTCATCGCGGCTGCTCCAGGCTGACTGACGTGAAATCAGAAATCAGATTTGTGAACTTGAAGCCTCACTGACACGTATCTTCACAAATGAAAATGAGTTGGGAGGTTCCACCTTTCATTGGCCCTTTGGCAGAGACTTTTGCGGCGCTTTGACACTTTTTAAGGGAGCCGGCCGCCAGAACCTCTCCTCTGTGTTCCAAACTGTGGAGACTGACTGCAGAAACCTCTGCTGTGTTTGGAAACGACTGACATTGTGTGGCGTTCGGCCTTGTGAGCGCAACAGTGCAAATAATGTACTTAAAATGAATCACGTTAGCTAAATTGTGATGCTATGGCTTTTTGCTTTCTTCCATGCGGAACGTATTTGTTGCACACGTTTGTGCTGCTTTTAGGATTCTGGAGACCTTACAGCATTTAAATGCGCGTCTTCAGTGTGCTGAAAATACACACGGCATTTGAATTGACTACAAACGAAGCAGTCTGACAACATTCCCCCAACAGAGACACTTCGTGGATTTTACACGTCAAACTTTAACGCACAAAGTTTATTCGATGTGCTATAGATGTGCTATGATGCACCATCTTGTCACCGTGTCATCTCTTCCTGCATCCCATTTTCAGGTCTGTGCTGTTAGAAACAAGCCAGTGCCAGCTCAAATGAAGCCGTCTACCAGGCCACAGGCGGCTCTTCAGACTTCTTCTAAGGTTTCCCTCGCGTGTGCAGTAACACCCAGACACCAGTGTGAGGGCTTTGACGTGTAAAATCTGGATTTTGTTAACACGTGAAGCCGTCAACCAATGATTATTGACTTTTCCATCATGTTGCTTTGACAAAAGCTTTTCTCGCTTCACTCCATCTACGATGGTCACCTGAGAATATTTAGAGCCCGTCAGCCTCGGCGGGTGATTTACAGCACAGGCCAGATTCCAAAGCATTACGTGAGACACTGTAACAGCCGCTGTGGACTCTTCTGTTAGCAGGTGCATTTCTGCCTGGTTGATGCAACATGAACGCTGAACTTTTTTTGACACCGTCCTCAGAAACACAGCAGTCTCAGGTGAATACCTGCCCTTCAACATCGACGGTGAGACTGATTTCATGCTGACAAACTTGCCGACTAATAGGATGGAGGGGGGAAAGAAAAGAAGCCTCCGTCTCCCTGTTACACTCGCTTATAGCTTTTGTCGCACTGGCTTAAAATACATTGTGCTTTGATTAATAGTGTGGAACACGTTGTTATATAAATACAAACTGTCTTATAGATGTACATTCACTTTTATTTCTCAATAGACTAATTTACACATTTTATAAAATAGGCTTCTCAGAATATACCAAGCTACTCTCCCCACTACAAGATTACACAATCAACATTATTGAAGAATAAGCGCTTATTTTAATCTGTGCAGCATGAATCTATATTATCTGAGCAGACATCACAGAGTTTCAGTTGACGTGCACGCAGTACCTACGTTTTCTACAAACAGATTTCATATACATGGCTTTTCTCTATGCTGGCTCCCACTCTGAGTGGATCCCCTTACACGTCCCACTGAGCTCTGACGAACGTGTAGCGACTCCTTTGTTATTGCCACTTTCTGATTGGACCATTTATCTTTTAAGGAGGTTATTTAAGGACTTTATTTTGTGGTGCCGACAGGCATTTTAAGTTTATCTAAGGGACCATTTGAAAGGATAAGTACACTTATCTGGCACCAAATGTTAATCATAAAAAGGAAGCAAATATGGTTGTGTCTCTTCATATTTGTGTTATTTCAAGTAAGAGACAAGTGAGGGTGGGGTAGGTGGCATGGAGCCTCAAAACCCTTTACTAAACCTCTCTTCTTCCCAACTCCAAGGCACTGCTTAAACTGTAAACATGGCAGATTGATGAAAAGAATTTAAGAAAAAGAAAAAAAAAGACCAATACAATGAGAGCCAGGGCTCCTGGTGGAGCGTAAAAGAGAAATCTGTACGGTAGGACATGGCACATAGGGGATATTCAACAACAAAAACACATTTCTCAAGGTGAAAAACAACTTCTGATACAGTACTATATTACCTTTTTCAATGGCTTACATGCACACTAAAGTATCTGCTTCACATATATCTGTACATGTATGATTATTAAAGTAAAGTCTCCTCTGTGCTCATCTACAGTACTAGAACTTTGCTGTAAGGTAAGCCATTTATCTAGAAAATCTCTGACTCGTTTCTCTCCTCCCTTTCTTTACGACAGTATCAAAGCACGTCCCTAGGTTCGCTTCTTTGCAGCTGATAGTTCGGATCTGCCCTTGAAGTATCTGATAACAGTGAGCGGGCAACTTCAGGGGACTAGTCTATCCCCGTCACCAAGCTTCCCCTCCAATTGCAGGAAGCGTTTCGTACTGGTAGATCATAAAAACAACCGGTGCAAACAAACAAACAAAAAAGAGAAAATAACGAATTCCACAACAACTCCATCATAAAGAAATAGTTAGTACCACTGTCATGGCTTTAAAATTTCCAGATAAAACCAACCAAAGTGCAGTGGCAAGAGAGGGAACTAAAAGACAAAAGCCGTGATTCATTCGGCTTCTTCCTGCTAGGGCAGCGTCATACTTCTACCCTAGTGTACGCTGTATGAGAGCACTCAGTATCTGCCCCACTGCCTAAACAAAGGTCAGTCCGACTTGCTGTTAGTAACGAAAAGCCAGAGCTAAAATAAAGCCAGAGCTAAAATAAAGCCAGAGCTAAAATAAAGCTAGAGGAACACGCTGGCTGGTGACCTGCAGGAACGGCCTTGCCCTCTGCACACAGCATATAATGAAGCTCTTCTTCCTTTGGCCTAAATTCACACCTTGTTGCAAAATATATTTGTACTTTGGCAGAAGATATAAAACACATTAATTCTTGAGAGTTCTCCAAAGTGCTTGATGAGACGAAGGACTGCTTTTATTTGAATTAAACTCTTTATACTGCAGATTCCCCTATATGTTAAAACGTTCTAATGGCTCAAGACGTGAAGGAACTACGGCGCACAGAGAGCTGTCCTCCTGCAATCCCCCAAATACAAACACTTCTCACATATAGAGTCACTCTAACAAAATAATCTAAGATCTAAAATATATTACAGTAGAGCAGATCACTCTGAAGGGAAGGTAACACCCCCTCCTTCCACATTTCTTAGACATCATCCCCCCTCTTCTCTCTGAAGGGGGCACCGCACTGCCCCCCCCCCCCAAACACTCCAAGAGAACAGTAAATATTGCAATATGATGGCAATATAGTTACAGTAAATTAAGAATACCAGTAGGCTAATATCAATACAGAATTACTACATATAAATATCAAATTTGTATATTTTAGAAATGGATGAAAACAAGAAATTTAGGTACAACTCTGATGAGACAAACATTCATGGTTTCGCCCAAAATGCAGAAGAAGGCAAAGCAGGAATTTTCACTGCACTGATTCCGAGTGCTGCAGGTTTGAGACTTTGAACTCGTTTGATCTCTTTTTTTCTCCTGACGGTGAACTGAAATTCATTCTGTTTCTCAAGCAATAGAGCCCCATTTCCGAACATTGGGACGTGTGACATCATGTGCCACTCGAGAAAATAACATTTTAAAAATGCAAAGTGAGAGCAAAGCCTCCTCATTCACAGCTGCTGAAGAGAACTGAATGTGTTCAAACAAGTTACTTCACCACAACTTTGACGGGCCTTTGTAACATGTCTACTTCTTCCTTAGAGCCTTTGTAAACCTGTGGGAGGTCCCAAAAGAACTGAGAACCACGAGTCACAACAGACGGGCGTTTTAACATTTGAACTGTATTCATTTTCTTTATCTGGCCTTTCTAAACAATGGCGGTCTGTGGATGATACTGATCTGAGCGACCTGTGCTATTTACAGACTCATTTATGACATATAGCACTGGTGAAGAGTGCATAAATAATAACTGGTAAATAATGCCTTCCTCTAAACGTACTGTGGAGCCGTCTACGAATGTCTACAAACATTGGTCGAGGAACACGTTTCACAATTAGGAACTAAATGGTTACAACTGAACACAGGTCCACCAAGAAAAGTAAATCAAGCAGGAATAGTTATATACACAGTACAAATTGAATAATGATCATTTGAAGCCCATCAGCAATTTTTCATGAGGCTTCCAGAGAGGATGTCATCAAGAGGCCTCAGTGGAAACTGCTTCTTAAGGTGTGCAGGCTGGAATGGATTTAGAGATTATTTGTGTGTGTGGTGCTCCTGTGTGAGGTTGTGTGGTCTGTCTTTGCAGCACGAGTGCTTGAGTGTGTGTGAGCGGTGGGGAAAGAGAGGGTGGTGTTCACATTTCTGTGCATGCTAAAGCGAGGACTGCGGATGCACTTGGTTCTTCAGACCCCGCCGGGTTCCACACACTGACCAGAGCAGGTGTTCCTTCACCAGTTCATGATGCAGTTTCTGTTCAGAGTCATGAAGTACACCTGGCTGCTGCCTCCAGAGCGCACCGAAGCAAAGAAGACCTGGGGGGCGCCACACGCAGGGGGACATGTCACAGTTGTAAGCAATAATACACAGAAAAACCTTTTTCCTCTCAACAGGTAAAAACTGCTCTCATTAAACGTTTTAGTTAGGAATTGGAAAAAAAAACTACCACCAAAAGTTTTTAATACTGTTAGCCTATGTAGGAACCATAGGATGAAACATCCACTGGGTGTTTAGAGGAGTTTCTTTGTGGTTATGGGGTCTGACCTCTTGGTGTATGGTCAACAATGTAAACTTTCTCTGTGATAGTAGCGATTCAGAAATATTACTGAATAATAGCTACACTCTCAATTCCATCCATTGTTTTTCTACTGGTTAAACAAATTAGGTTTAGTCCGGAAAATGACTTCAACATCCAGGTATGAAGAATATTTTTCATCAAAACAGAATGTTCGACTGATTCCGCGTTCAAATGAAATGCTAACAACCTTAGCCTGTTGTTGTCAAAGTCTTCTTGTGTTTTACCTTGTCATTTCTCTCACAAAGAAACTTCAGCCTTTGAGCCCTTTTGTGCATGAAGACACCGTCCAGATGCCCAGTCTCCACCGAGCGAATCTCAATGGCCTTCTCTCCCCAGCCCATGATCTGGTTTGAGCAGATGTGAGCTGCAGAGCACAGATAACATTAGTAACGAACAGCTGGATTCAGGTCACACACTTCCCATAGCCAGGTTTATCCGTTTGACTCGTACCAACAGAGGTGGGCATCTCGCCCCACTGCAGGACAACGTCCTTGATGATGCGTCCGTAGGTGTTGACGTAGACGCCTTCATCCTCATAACAAACCAGCATCTCCATGCCGTCGGAGTTGGGCAGGAACACAATTGCATGTGGGGTCACATGGCTTTGAATCTGTTTTAAAAAAAAGTTTTTCGATGAAATCAGGTGACTGATTTTATATCATACATTATAATATATATTTAGTATTTTTCACTTCCCCACATACACTCCAGCCCAACAAGTGTGCAGCTCACATGAACGGGGATATAAATGTCATAGTTGTTTCCAGAGTCCACGTCAATGGCGTGAAAGCCAACGCAAGAGCCATAGATGACTTTCAGCCTCTGGCCTTCCTCCACCGTCAGGTCAACCAGCACAGGTCTGTGTGGAAGGTCTGCGAAAGACTGGTTCCAAAAGGGGTGGTGGAGGTTTGGAGGCAGAAGGGAATCGTGAACAGACAATCAACATGAATGCTCTTTAGGTTGACTGACCCCACATAATTGACCCACCTCAAAGGAAAGCGGACACTTACCTTGAAGGCCATGAATTTGTGATAAGGTTTGGGCGCCCAAGCGTATACCTCCACGGCATTCTTTAAAGCAATCACCAGGAACTTTATCCTCTCATATTTCACTAGACAGAACAACCGCAAGGCCATCTGACATTAGACACTCACAATCAATAATTCACAGTGTCAAATGTAATCATCAGAATTTCTCTTTGGAGGAGCAGCAAACATCTGCCACTCACCCACTTTGTAGTGCACACAGCCTTCCATCTCCCCCACAGTGGTCCAGCCCTGCTTCTTTTCTACCTCAGGGTCATTGTGGAGGATCTTATTCCTCAGCCATGCCAGGTAGTAGACGCGCACCTTGTTTTTCTTGCCTAAAAAAGCAAACAGGGAAAACAGAGGGGAAATTTAGCCTGGTGTTGGGTTATGGAGGGTTCAAAAACTGTATATAAATATTTAATGGGATGAGAGACGCTCGACTAATTCGATTATCACTTTTACAGGGCTTTAAAACTAACTTAGTGTCTTTCAGAACATTTGTGTGTCCTTTAAAAGAAGTGGATACATCACTTCATGTTGTAATTTCAAAGTCTTCTGGTTTAAATATTATAGACTTTAATTGGCAATAGATTTCTTTTTAAAAGTCTCTTTAAACCAAACTAATTTTGCCCAGCACATAGGTGTCAAACCGCATAGTAAGAACGTGGGCCAATGAAAAATAAGAAAAACAGACTTGTCTTTAAAGGGAGGGGACTGCCAATGACCTGATATGGTGATAAGCAGGTTGAGGCCCTCCAGGACGTCCATCTGTTGGAACCTGCGGGAGTTGATGAGGGGATAAACTTTTCCCTGACCACTACGGTCCAGCAGCTTTAAACCGTTTTCTGTGCCCACCAACAGGTTCACACCTGGAAACACACAAAGAAACCAACACGATACTTTATAATTTCCTCACACCAAAAATGAATTGACAGAATGCCTGCTAAAGGAAAAGTGATGTGATCATTAGTTTATACAAAATTAAGGTTCAAAATAGCTAATAACTACTTCTGCAAAATGAGACCAGCTACAACACACAAATATCAGAATTTAAAATACATTATTGAAAGTTGCCAATTTTTAGAAATTTACTTGGCTTCTTATAATTGTTTTTCAAGCAATAACAGAACTGAGTCAATTCTCACCCCAAAGAGCTGCACACAGGATCTCAGAGTTGAACCTCTTCTTGTACTTTCGGATCTCAGGTGTGTCGTTAGGGGGTCTTGTGTTGGTGGGATTCACGTTCACCATGGATCCTTTCCTTACCTCCATCTTCAGCTGCTCAAACCTCGAGCCTACCAAACCAAACTAGAATGATTATATTTACAAAAAAAACAAACTAAACAAAGAATGGGAAACTACTCAAATTTAATCTTATTTGCCCGCCCATTACTCTGGGTCAAACTAGCATATAACTTATATAAGTTTAAAAGACTTTAGCAAAAACAACACAGTTCACGACCCCTCCAAACAGTGTTTTAGGTTTGACAAGTACATTTTTTTTCAAAAGATGTATTTGAAAAGCTTTTGACTCACTGGTGATGGACATGTTATCTCCAGTCCCTGCTGGTGACTGGTACATGCCAAGATCCACAAAGGTGGTGAAGGACGATTTTCCGGATGCTTTCACCAAACCTCTGGACTGATACTGATGGAACAGAGTGTCAGTACAAGCTATACACATGTTTAAGTCAACATAAAGCCAGACAAACGTTCACTTTGTCTGATAAAACTTTCATGTTGTTATAATTTTCAGTGTCTACATCATAGCCTGTGAGGGTGGACTAAAAAGTTGGAGTGGTCAAATCAAATATGTGCAACTCTTTAAAGCTAATAAATGAGCAAAAAACTATGCTGAGATGCAAGGGAGACATACTCTGCATCAGTAACACTTACATCATAAACAGAGTCCTTCCCAGGAGAGGAGTGAGAGGCTGAATCAGTGGGAGAGTGGGAGGGTTGCACCACATCTGGCAAATTAGTGTATCCATTATGACTTCTCTTCTCTGGGGTCTTTCAGGTAAAACACAACACACACAAACACAGTGAATGAACTGTAGGTTAGAGTTTATGCACGCATGTGTGGTTTGGATGGTTGGACACTGAGTAACAGTCGTAAACGCTCATTCATCTGAACAACAGATGGAAAAAAATGTGTGTGCAGTTTGTCGACATTTGAATTCAAATACTACTCACAACAGATATCATTCGAAACTCAATCATCTGACCTAGATCTACGACAGTCTTGCACACAACATTTGGTAAATCTCCATGCGTAGCAAGGTTAAAAGCCCTGTTGCTTAGCACTGTCGCTTTTTAGAAGGGGTATACATTCTTACGGGGGGGTGTGCTAGTTTTTGCAGGAAGAATGGTCGAATGCCCAACACAAAAACTAAAACACAGTTTGCTATTAACAAAAAGTGCTTTCATTTTGAGTTACTTGCCTGAAGGCATGCTAATGAGAACTGAGCATGAAAAGCCTAAGTCATTATTACTTAGTGCCTTTTTATAAGTTTAAAAAAAAACCTAATTAGCCAATGTTGGGAATTTAATTTTGACAAAACAGAACACATTCATTGAGCTGCTCATCCAAGCACTGTGCTGATCTCTCTTTGAAATCACGATGCAGTTTAAGTATAAATATATATATACACAGGTGACTCACTCTCTGCACCAGCATGGTTTGATCCCCATATCCACCAGCTTGATCTCCTTCTCCCCCCTCTCCCTCATCTTCATGAACCACCATGGTGTTGACAGAATCAGTGTCAGCATCCCTATGCCTGAAATTTAGAAGCAAAAGAAAAGCGGATTGGAAGTTTTAAATGATTCAGGACTGCAAGCTTTGATATGGTAATGAGCAAAGTGTCTAAGAAGCAGTATTCTCACCATAAAAGTGAATATGAACAAAAATACTATGCTCCATTCTGTATTAACAGTATCCACCAGAATGTCCTGATTACAACTTAATTAAGACTTAATGGCCCCTTGTTTGTGTCCTTTGAGAATTGCCTGATGATGAATCTAAATAAGACACTTGCATCTCCTACAGTAAGATATTGAAGTTATTAACACACTTAAATAATTGGGTACAAAGATCAACAATGTTGTTGCTCAGTTCAGCACGGAGGAAGAAAAGCTGGGACATCTTAAAAGAAAAATAAATACCAGCCTTGAAACAAGCTGATAATATCAGACGTAATCATCCCATTATGAAACTGAATGCAGTGTGACTTGAATGCAATCACCCGATTCACCGGAAAAAAACAAAAAAAACAAAGTTTGATCTGAAAATTGGATTTCAACACTCCTTGTCGGTTAGTGTCAGCTTTACCGATCTGTTGGGCTCTCTTCCTCCTCAGCTCCCTCGCCACTTTCGCTTTCTTCGCTGCTTTCGCTGCTCTCGGAGGAGGAGGAGTAATCATTGGCCTTAACTGGGGGCCTCGGTGGCTCCTCAGCACGCTCTTTGGCAAACAGGCCGTGGTCCTGAACAGAAACAGATAAAAATGCATTCAAGACCATTTGAAGTACGATCCCTACATTTAAAAACTGTAACGATCTGATCAATTCCCGGATAATTGTTGAAGCAAAAAGCCATTTTGATGTTTGACAGTATCAATGGAAATGATTCAAACTGATTACAGTGCAGGGTGTTTTCATCACAGGATGAGTCATAACACAGTATGAAGTCAAGAATATAAAGTAAAGTTTTCAACCTAAAAGACAAAACATGATTAACCCAACAGATAAAAACTCGGTATCTCATGCTTTTAACCTTGTGTGAGGATTATAGATTCAAGGAGCACAACATTCATGCAAGAACACAAAACGTTGTTACTAACCTCCCCTATAGCTCTCTTGTAACTCTGCAAGTTTGAGGTAAATTCAACAAACAAGGATTTGAGAGAAGAAGAAACACGAGGAGTATTAGCAGTGGTGCCTGGAGTGCACAGCAAGCCCATTTTAAGGTGTGACGCATGCAACACTGACAGCTTCCTCCCTCCCTCTGATTCTTACAAAGGTTTTTTATTCACAGCTCTTCACACATGAGCATTTTATTGCATCCATAAAAACTCCAGTTAATGATTTGAGAAACTAATGTAAAGATATAAATATTAAGGCCTATATGCTAAACTAAGACTTTAGTTGAGACAGCACAATCAGATTAAGGAAAGGTGAACATGTCTGAATGGGGCTTCATCATAAGGATGAACCACTTAGTCTGATTTGCACAAAAAGTTTACTTAGAAATAAGCACAGGAGCAGCAGGTTTGTGCAGCAGATGCTCTATCTGCTGTTATGTGGCCCTTCAGCCCTGTTCAAACTTGTGTACCTACGAAAGGAAAAGTTGACCTCAACAAGGACGAGAGCCACTTACAGCAGGGCGCCCGGGGCGGGAGGAGGTCCGAGACTCCCCTGGCTTATGGCGACTATCATTGGCGAGAATGGGTGAATCCATTTTGGAGGAACCTAAAAACACAACAGTTCACAGAGTGTAGTTATAACGTTGAAATGAGACTCAGAGCCCAAACGATCAGGAGAGTGGGGGGGAGGGACTAACTGAGGATCCGATGCCTCTCCAGTGAGCCCGTCTGGGGCAGATTGGTTAAGATGCTCATGCTGTCTCCTCTCTCCCAGCGATCATTACGGCTGAGATCTGGATTGCTGCCATGAGGATACAATTATCTCAAGCTGTCATTACTACTAATCTCAGATTTAAAGACACTAAATGTAGGAACAATAGAATCAAAGCATTTGGTTGTTTCATTACCTGGCTCTCACTGGATGCCTAATACCAGATGTTAGGTTGGTGTTGAGAGCTGTAGCAATTGATGCAGTCCTCTGGGGAATCTTAGGACAACAATATGACATCATAACACCTGCTGTTAGTCTACAACCACAGAGGCATACAAATAGTGTGAAGAATGTTCGTGGAATGATTTATATTTATGTTTGGATGTGAAAGCTGTACACTGTTGGGTCAAAACCAACTGGTGGATCCTACCTTGGGTGGGAGCTCTACGTCTGGCAGGCGGATCCAGGGGCCGCGATCCTCCCTGATTTGATGTGTCTGAGGTGCAGGGATTTCAGAAGTGGGGTCAGAGTTCTGACGTACAAGCTCTCTGGAATGGATGGGGCGGGGGGTGGGGGTGAGGGAGGGATCCTGGGTGGGGAATGCAGACATGTTCTTAGTGGGCTGGTCACAGAGGGACTGAGAGCGAGGGACAGGGGCAGCGTAAGGCTTCAGAGGAACCAAGTGAGCCATCTGGAACTGAAGAGGATGGGAGCAGCAGCACACCAGGTGGGAGGAGCAGCCCGACGAGAGGAAGGGTGAAGTAAACAGGCGAGGAAGAAGGCCGAAGGGGAGAGGAATTCATACAAGTGTGTGTATGCCAGAGACCAAAGCAAAAGAAAAGTGAGAAGGGAGGAAAAGAAAAAAGAAAGAGAAAAGACTGCATGAATAAGGTTGCATAGAAGGTTAAGCAGATAAAGAGTGTGGTGGCAGAAAGGCCTAAGCATTTATACAGTAAAGACCCACCTTTCCCTGCCCGCCCTGTGGTTCAACTGGCCTCTGCATCGGTGGGGTCTGTGCAGACTGGCCCATTCCCGACTGGCTGATTGAGTCGGAGCGTGACTGGATGGCAGTGTCAGAGACAGTGGTGCAGATTTTGGGAGAACCTTGTCTGTTGAGCTTGCTTCGCTCCTCCACCTATAAAAAAGGCAGTGAAAGAGTGAAAAGCCCTGTGGTTTACTGAGCATAGCTTTTTCCACTACTTCGAAAGCAAGTATCACTGATACCTCACGGGCCCAAGGAGGTTTGTTGTTGGGCTCCAGGTTTTTGTTGTAGTGGTAAAGCTGGGGCTTCTTTTCCTGCTGCTGCTGCAGTGACACCAGGTAGGCATGCTCCTGCTGCAGCTGCCTCTGCAGCCGCTCCGACTGACGCTGCTCCTCAAGCTGTTTGCGTTTATACTCCTGAACAAGGAAACACACCAGTCAAAAGGCTGCTTGTTGCATATTTTTTGCAAGTATTATGACACAAAACATTGGCAAAGATTACGATAGAATTAACTCGGACTACGGAGAGATGTGAAGGTATTTAGTTAACCTTTAAAGAAGATGGGAGATAATTAACAACTAAGCATTGTCTTGGCTGACTAATGTATTGATAGGCAGTGAAATCAAAGCTGAAAATGACGTTCGTCTTAAAAATGTGCAAAAAAAAATTCTAAATCAAGTAGTTATCAGAGCATCTGCCTTAAGACATTGATTGTCATATGTATTCAGAAAATAGACAATTTTTTGAGTAAGTGAAATTAATGAAAATGTAATACTGGACATTATTAAGGAGAAAGCATTTCAATACATGCAGACAAATAGCTAAATGTTTAGCTGTAAATATTCATTTCTAATCACTCCTGTGTTAAACTGGCCCACGACATCTAATGATCGGCCCTGACTGTAATTCATCTGCGATAACAGTGAAGTGTGGACTGTTACCTGCTAGCTTATAGTCACCCCTCTGTAAGCTAACAGGGGGGATGACTGACATCTACTGTACAGAATGGCTTCATCAGAGTTGCTTCTCAAGCTTAACGTGCTGTCCCTTGAAGTTATACAGCCGATAATATCTTCACTTTTAATAGCCCTACTCCCTAAAACTGCAGATGTGGGTCATGCGCATGACCTTGTGGTCTTGTCCCTTTAAATGTATGCAAACACACATGAATTACATGTATGTACTCTAACAGCTCTATATGTACAGTGGACTGGTTTAGGTTATTGGTTTCTCTACAAAATGGAAACAAATATTTTAGTCCCAATGACAGCAACTCCTACACACCACTTCCGGGAGTGTAGCATCTGTACCAGTCAGTGCCAGCAAAATTTTCCTTATACACTGAACACTGCCAAAAACACCCCTGAAAATCTGGGTCATTGCATGACTTTTTATGTAATCTTATGGGAGCAGCACTCACAGCTGTGGGCTCAAGTGTATGCACAACATTTTAGAGCATGATTACTTAAAGATTATCGAGATCTAGAGTCTAAAGATTCAACAACATATTCAATAAATACTTTTGAAAGAAAATACTAATCTAGGCCTATTTATTCTAAAAGCATACGACAGGAAAACAAGAATCAAACTATATTGACAGTGGAGGGGGGTTTAATTCCTGACTGCACTGAAAATGCACTATGATCAAGACATATACTTGGAAACCACTACAAGGAGAGCAAGGAATGATTAAGAACTGATAAGGACTAGTTACCATAAGCAGTGCCTGTTCCTGAAGCAACTTCTGCTGAAGGATTTCTAACTGCCGCTGCTCTTCCTCTAACTTATGTCTGATAAACTCCTGCAGAAGGATAAGGAGGTAGGGAGAGGTTGAGCACAGACAAATAACAAGCATGCAGTATCATTTTAATTAGGAAAAATAGCTTTTTCCTTGTGTAAAAAAAAAAAGACAGTCTGCATCCCCTCTTTACTTAAGATGGAAAATGTGAAATTACTATCAGCACCCAAGAGAAATAAATAGTTTGATGTGGATTCATTTTAATAATAAATATCACACTGCGCAAGGCACCAGACTAACATATTGAGTATGTAAGACTAAAAGGTGATGATGCACTGATGCCAGACTCGGATGCTACTGAGGTAGACTGGAAGCACAGCATAAGAGACGCAGAGAGCTCACCCACAGAAAACTCATCTCTGAGTAAATACACTAATTTAGACCCTTGCTGCTATGGCAACCTACTCATGGAATTTCACCACCAGAGCAACTTGTGCTGTGTGGCTGGTAGACACACCCACACTTCACTACGATTGGCTGACTGCAGCTCAGCATCTCTTGCGGTTGGTTACCTGCTCCCTCTCTGCCATCCTTCGATCTTCCTCCCGTCTCATATCATCAAGTCTCCGATGGGGACCTTTTTCTTGCTGCCTCACCATTTCTCGCTCTTTTCTCTGTTGCTGGGAGAAGAGGGTGACAGGAAAAAAAAGAGTTATGAGCACAGAGGCTATGCCTGCGCAGAGGAATTAGTCTGCTTATGAGCATATTGGCCCCTGCAAAGAGCCGGGGGAAAAAGACAAAGGCAGCGGGAGTGAAAGGCAGAGAACAGAATCTGAGTCATCTTCATAAACAAATACACACCTATTGCCTTAAAGTTCTCTTCTGAGTGTTTGGCTACAATTCAAAATTAAAATGGGAGTTTCTTCCCTTTGACAGGAGGCCTTCTTTGTCACCTTTTATATGGTCCACTGAAAATAAAATATGTTTCTCTCTGTGGAGGAACGAGACCCTTTGTCAACTTTTGAAAAACAAGCCATTATTGTTACCTTGGGGATGGGGAAAAAAGGAGCCAAACAAAACAATATAGGAGGTGAAGGCAGATCATTTCTGGTGCCGTCTTACTGCAGTAACACCATACAACACATTACTTAGCAACTATAGTTTCATAAGGGCTATTATGTGTTCTTATTTCAAATCTCAGACTTTCTCAAAGATGTCGCCTCTGATTACGCCTTGCAGGCAGCCCACCAATTAGCCTGATAATGTAGGTATGCAACTCCCTTTCTTCAACAATACACTTTTCGTTTTATATGCAATGTCAAATACAGCTGCTAACTTAATACCTACGTGACAGCGTTGAAATGACGTTCATTTTCACAGCAGACAGGATGACATGTTGATATAATAGCCAGACTTTCGGGGAGTGCGAATATCAAATCTTTATGTAAGCTGCTTTGATATTTAACAGTAAATTATCAGTCAAATGCTGTTCTGGGTCAACACCGCATATCGAGGCACAAAAAGTGGAGAAAAAAAAAAAACAATAGTGAACTTATCATTTACGCTCCATAAGCCTTTTTAACTGTGAACTCCAAAGGTTCAAACAATTCTTGGTAACACACTTTTACCAGCTTGGTCTGAAAACACTATGCATGTAGTTAATATGCATTAGTCAAATTAATATCCATGGCCTCCAGTACTGGCTCAAACTGTTAGAAGTCATGCAGGGAGATTAGGGGTGTTAATGTAGAATGTTGAGCTCACTAATATTCATAATCCTTCGGGGAAACCTTTTTTCATAGCTCATGTTCATTTTGCTCATTTCACACTCTTTTATACATTTCTTTCTAGGCAACAAAATAACCTCATTTGCCCAAATCTTTATGTTACTGATATACATGGAATGTGTAGAAATGGAAGCTGAACTTTCTTTTTAAAAAATGTATCCTAATGTTTTACATCCTCTTTTTTCTCCATTTGAAATGACTAAAAACCTCTAGAGCTTCAGGTTGGTGAGAAGATATGGGATTACCATGTAAGACACAGTCTGATACATGTTCCACTTTGTACAGAGGCACCCTTCACCAGTTCCAAAACCTGAACCGTTTGAATTTATCACCTTTAATCATCTTGCCGTTTACGGTCATAGCCAATGTACTAAGTGGGTCAGAACATATAAAAATGGCTTTAAAACATAGATGTGGTTGAATAATGATGAGTGCAGAGACATTACCCAGCTTTTGTTGAGCGATCAATATTTTCAGATACAGTATACTGGGGGCTTTATCTCAAAGGGCAGCTGTCAATGCTCCATATGCGAGCCATGTCTTAAAGATGCCCTCTTTTTTGATACTACGGGCTATAACCAGTGTTGACTTGGTACGTCACATCTCTTTACTGGTTTCAATGAAGAGATCATCTCAGTGCTATCTTTGTACATCACATCAGTTGTCTGATTTTTGTTTAATGAAAAACAAAGGCCTCCGGATAGAGCAGATGGACAATCTTTTTTTTCCTTCCATGTGACCATCCTCAACTCTGATGATATGACAACTTTTGTGACGTCATAGCGGCGCTTCATTTATCGCCTTTCAGCTCAGCTTTCATGTTTGACATGAGGGATTATGGATGGTTATACAGCTGGCCATTACCTCTTCCAGTCGACGGCGCTGCTCCTTTTGTTCTTCGATGCGTTTCTGCCGGTCGTGCAACAGTTGCCTCTTGTGCTCCTCGGGGTCGCGGCGCTGGGCGGCCAGTTGGGCTTGCTGCCTCTTGTGAGCCTCCGAGCGCTCTTTGTTTTCCTGCTGCAGCCTCTGGAAGTCCCGCCTCAGGGTGGACTCACCGGGCACATTCAGGATTGAACTGATGACCAAATTGGAAAATATGAGTACGTGGAGGTGGATTTCTGGAGCCATTTTGCACAGGCTGGCAAGTTTGCTCTTTGGATAGAGATGCTTGGGTACTACCTTGACTCTCTGTCATCCCCACGATTTTCATCCTCCTCATCACTGCCACTGTATTCATACTCTGTCTCTTCTGCAGGACATAAGAAAAAGTGATTAGTCAGAGTACCACAATAGTGAGTATGGCTACATAAACCCACCATCAGTCAGGTGAATTGAATATGAAATGTATTTGTTTGTTTTTTTTAACAAAAAAAAAATCAGAATTTTTACCTTTTTCTCCTCTTTTTTTGCGTGTACGGTCAATGTGGTCTTTGAGCTGAATTCGGACCTGGCGCTCTGTGGGCTGGTCCCTAATAAAGGAATGCTTGAGCAGCTGCTCTGTGGATGGCCGGCTGGTGTACGTTTTGACAAGACAGCCCTCTATAAAGTCAATGAATTTCTTGGACCTAGGATAAAAGAAGAGGTTATAGGTTGATAAAAAAGATTTCCTGGGGAGTACTTGGATGCCAGGTTTTAGAACACTGAATCAGCAATTATAAGAGGCTGGGGTGGGGGGGGTCTGCCTCTGGTTCGTCCAACAAATCCATTTCTGGGTTGGAAGCACAGCTATCTGTATTTCACAAAAAACATCTCCAGAAATCTTTCCCTGTTACACTACAAAAGCTGTAATTAAAGCAAGTAGCTGCCATTACCAAGTCATCTAAAAAAGTATTAACTCTGGTATCTGGAGGACAATTTCCTAATGAGGAACCAAGAATAAACCACCTTATAGAGTTTTCTATGAATTATTTTTTCGATGATTGACCGCTTAATCAAAACATTAAAGATTTTATTTAAAATCTTTAAATATCTGTCATTTATCCAGCAATTTCTTCTGCAAAGCATTGCTTCCATTCACTGCTGTCCTCATCAAGTGTGTTTTATGGAGTTAGCCTGTTTATGGAAGCACTGTGTTTATGGGCAAAGTGTTACATTACAGCACTGCCATTTACTGCACTATCCTGCCATGACCTCTGTTTTCTCCTATATTGAGAGACTGCATTTGCCTTTTTAGATTTTGCCTGAATATTGCACACAAATCATTCAACATGCCATTTATCTGAAGCCAACAGATCATCCACAAATGTGCGCGCCGAGCCGGGATGTAAGCACTTTGTGGTCCTACTTTCCAAAACAAAATGTCCAAATGTGTGCCCGCAACTTGATCAGACGAGACTCCAGTTTAAAGACAATGACTCTACAACACAGTACCAAACTAAGGGGAACACAACATCATTTCAGGATTTTCCAGAGTGGCAACAGTGTGGCTGCTCACTCACCATTTTTTGGATTTAAGTTTTGGAGGGGGGTTCCTTGGAATCAAAAAGAGAGCCCTCATTGGGTGCATGTCACACAGCGCTGCAGAAATAAAGGAGATTATGAGAGTTGAATCCTTTTACTCATGCTGACAGCTGAGGAACAAAGGAAAGGCATGCAAGACTTAATTTGATTTCAGACTATCCTTATTTTGTCAGGTTTGTACAGAAAAAAAAAATCATTAAAACATTGCACTTTTTCTGAGTGTGTGCATTAAAAAACACAAAAAACATTGCTATATTACAGCTGTTGTTATCCAATCTTTCCTGGCGCCGCAGGCTTGTTGTTACACTGAATGTAAGAGCAGGGACTGTGAGTCATTGTGTTCCCAGCGTAGGTAGGTAGCTAAACCTGACTGGCTAGCTTTAGAGCTTCACAGTAAATAGGCTTTTGTACAGCAGCCTTTTGGACATGTACAACGTGACTGAAGCGAGCAAAAATGTTCATGTCTAAGTTTAGAGGGCCACGTTAAAACAAAGGGCTCGCAGTCAAACCTTTAACACGTACTTCACATAACAAGCAACTATTTCTAAAGAGGGGTCACTGACACAATGATGGTAGATGCGAGACCGTCCCCACAGAGCTGCAGACCAAAGCCTCATTTACCGTTTTACAGCATGTTTGCTGGGCTGTTTGTCATCATACCATGTCATACCATGTACGGGTGTATGTGACAAATAACCCAGGATTTCATTTGAGGTGCACCGACTTGATTTAAAGTAATCTAAAAATGAAAATTAAATGACTAACGCTCTGATTACTGAAGTAGGTTTACAGAGTGAGTAAGGACACACTGCATAATTCATAATAGAAACAGCAGCTTGACAGTTGGCCTGTATACCATGCTGCATGTCACTCACAGCAGCATCCTGAAGGATATCCAAGGTCTCCATTAATGATGCCAAAAAAAAGGCCTCCAGGATGCTCACTATTTTCTTAGTGAGACAATATCCTTTTTTTAGGTGAAAAACACAAGCTCTTCACCCCGTCTTAAGTGAGCAAAGCTCTTCAATAGGGAAGGATGCTAATTTGAATCTGGAGTATAACTGGACAATTAACTAATAAGCTTTCACTGAGGTCAGGATAATGCCTTCATTCTTGATCAATAATGAAGGCAAGAGAGAGAGATTCCAAGGGTGGCATTTACAGTTAAAAAATAAAGCTTTCAAAACACGTGAAACTGCTCTTCTTAGACAGCAAAAGAGTAATGGTGATACTGACAATGGCCAATTTTTAAGAGAACAGGCCTGAAGGATCCAAAGGATCTGTCCAGCAGGCAGATGAATCAGTATCAAGGTTTAACATTAACTGAAAACTAAATGAGAGCAATTACAGAGATTTTAATCCCAAGGTACAAACTACTCGTGATCATCAAGTACAGAAATAACCAGATAAAGAAGCCCTTAATAGAAAAACGACAAAAAGCAAAACAAAATAGCATTCTTTGGACAGATGACGCCGAGAGCGTCCTGATCACAGTAGGTTTTGGCACTGTCGTCACTGATAGAAAATACTGCCCTTGAAAACCACACAGAGGAAGAGTGATGGCTTCCAGTGGTACTGGGTCATTTCTGTTTACTGATGATGTGACAGAATACAGAAGCAGCTGAGGAATTTCAAAGCATTCAGGAATTTATGGTCAGCTCAGATTCAGCCAAAAGCTAAGACGCTGCCTCATACAAGGCTGCACGTTGGCCAAAAAAACATACCATAAACAGGCCTTTTTTCAAAAGGCAATCACGTGGAAGATTCTGCTGTAAACACAAAGTACTTACAGTAGGTCTGCTGCTGATTTAACAGGACCCATAAAGACCAACAAACACCACAAATGAAAGATTGAACAAAAGACTAAATTAAGTTGTCCTTAGTTATTTTAACCCTTCTGTAGTGGTGCATGGGGAGAAAATTGAAAACTGTGACCCTGTCCAAATAATTTTCAACTTCTGGCTTGTGTTCAACGATTCTTTAACAACACTTTTAGAGTTTATTAGTGAGCCCTCAGAGAGGCTTCCCTATCCTCTTTGGTTTCGCACCAAATCTCCAGGCAGACAGATTCCCTGCAGACCACAGATCGGTGCAATCAGCCTCCACAGGCCTCCTGCCAGCTCACGACTACACTACCTTTTATTACAGTGAGTCAGCTGTCCATCTGAATACACAGACAACCAGGCCAAAACATGCAAGACAGACTCATTCATAAGGGCTTTAGAATTGGCTTTGAGACATTGAGAAACTCTCTTCTGCTGAGCAGATATAAACGCTGAAGTTAACATCAAACGCTGGTACACAGAGGAAAGCAGTGACTTACGAGGAGCTCCTTCTGCCATCTCAATGGCAGTTATCCCCAAGGACCAAATATCGCTCTGTAAAATGCAGAAAGCACAACATCAGTTTCGACCTTTCATTATTGGAATATGTTGAACACACAAACACACACTGCAGTACCCTGAAGTCATAGGTGGAGTCCGGGTTCTCGTCACAGGCAATGACCTCAGGTGCCATCCAGTAAGGAGTCCCTATGAAGGTGTTCCTTCGTCCCACGGTCCTGTCCAACTGAGCGCTTACTCCAAAATCAACTACAATAAAGTAGGTCAGGATAATGTATCAGAACACAAAGGACGGCACAAAGCAGAGCTACTTTAGCTTAACAACCTCAGGGTGTTTAAATTCTACACACCGAGCTTGACCTCTGCGTTCTCCGTTAGCAGCACGTTTTGGCCTTTGATGTCCCTGTGGATGACTTTATGGGCGTGGAGGTGAGAAAGGCCCTGTTCAAACAGAAAAGGAGTCAAAGCCAGTCAATAAGCAGGGATTTCAGCTGCATCGCTGATCAGAGTGCTGCAACGGTGATTTCCCACCCTAAGGATCTCTCTGCAGATGTAAGCAATCCAGTCCTCTTTCAGAGTGCTGCCTTTAGTGTTTTTTACCAGGTCAGTCACTGACCCTGCTCCGCAGAACTCCATCACCAGCTGTGCACAGATAAGACAAACTCATGGCGCGGGATTCAGCAGGACTGCTTCTGTTATACCATCTGACCACAAGCATGCACACACCCAAAGCTGGTCATCGTGTCCTGGTGGACTCTTCTTGACAAAGGCACCATAGTATGTGGCTATGTTGCGGTGGTGGCTGTATTTTTTCAGCATGTTGATTTCTGCCTTGATCTCCTCTTCCTCCTCCTCTGTGACATCCATCACCTTAATGGCAGCCAGCTGGCCCGTCTTCACGTGACGGCCCTGATGAAGAACGAGTCGGATCATTGCAGCAGTGTTCAGTAAACTATGAAATCAACTGTACACTCCACTCTTATAATAATATTCTGTTTTTAATCAAGTGTGGCTCATTGCTTCTTCACCGCATCTGGATGCTTTTACACAACTTTTTTTTGTTTTACTTATCAACAGCTGGTATTCCAAGTAGCCATTTCTGTAATGTAATTCACCCGTAAGAATCAAGCGTCACTCGGATGTGACTTGACACAAGCATCATGGCTCACCTTATACACTTGTCCATAAGTCCCATTTCCAACAACCTCTACCAGCTCAAAGATTCCTGCTGGATCCTATAAGAGAAAGGCACTCATTTACTATGCAACACACAGAGAGCAGCGTGAATTCTACAACCAAATCCACTTCTACGGGCTCATATACACATAGCCTGCACCAAGAACAGGGAGCAGCAGAAAAGCTCTATGCTGTATGTCCTAACAGCAGCAGCAGAAGGGGGAAAAAGGCACTTTTAAACACACCAAAAACTAGAAAGAAAAAAACTGATCTTGTGTAGAACGGAGTAAGAGTGTGTAAACTATTCAGTAAGTTTATGAAAACGGAAACAAAACACTTAACTGTAAAGTCAGGTGGTAATTAGCTCAGTTTCTACAATCTAACATGGTGTTCTAGCTGGTGAGTTTCAGTTTTAGATTAAGAAAAGTGTCATCTCACAAAATTATAACACCTTATTCCCAGAAAAATAAGAGATAAGAGTTAGCATTAACTTCTGGGGGAGTTGTTTCATAAGGCTAATGAGAGATTTCTCTCAGTGCCTGACCCCATGGCAGTTTAAGGTGAAAAACCAAGTGTGAAACGAGCCCAAACTGGGTCTGACAGAGCTGCAGATGCACTGCACACTAAAAACACCTTCAGGAAGTTCCAACCCGTCGACTGGAAACTGGTGTAAATGAGCCCTTAGTTACAAACCCTCAATGTTAAAAAGCATTTCAGTACAATTAATGACCATCTCAGCTTTTTTTTTTCTTAAAGAGAAGAGAATAAATGTGAAAAAAATTGAATACATTTAATATAAGGATCACTCGACACACATCAGAGACAAATTTGTTTTTCAAGTAGGTGATGTTTGCTTTGCCCCCCTCCCATCCCCAAATCCTCATGATGCTCGCTTCAATGCCGGCACAAAATGGAGGATGTATTAGATCTTTTCAACAACAACTGCCTCTTAATACTGAGATCCCATTGAACTGTGCCTCTTTAAAAGCTCTTTGACCCAGCTACATTCAGAAAGGTTGAATGAAAAAATAAAAAAATAAATAAAAAGGTGCTGACGAACAAAAACAGAAAAAAATGACTTCCAGTTTTCTGTGTTTTTTTCCATTAGAAATTCAGAGCCAGTGAAGGTAGCTACAGGTCTGTGCACAGCCTTGAAAACAAATGTCCCTGTTCAGAAAAGAAACCATGAATTAAAACAACAGAGACAACCCCGATGGCTCCTACTGTGTTCACTAAAGCCAATTTCTAAATCCAATATTTCATTTCCAAATGCATCATATGAATTCAATCTTCCTGGCCACCTACAGGAGTTGACATGGAAGGCACAGGCACTCAGACACGCTGAATGTTGCTCGCAGATGCGATATAAAAAGATTGATTGTGAGAACACAGACAGAAATTGGGCCGATCCCGTTATTTGCTCAGTTTATGTTTCAGAGCTGTGAACACATTTTTCACTGACACTAATAACGAGTAGGTTGCTTTGACTAAATTATGCAACCCCCCCTCCCCCAAGAGACAAGGGAAAATGACAGGCAGTTCCACTTCCATGTAATTTCAATATGGCTTTATGAAGATGTGTGGGTGGTGAGACTGCTGCTTTAGGTTTAGAATGTACACCATGACCTAACTCGCTTCCATCTCTTCCCAATGATGGGTTTCCTGTCGTCAACAAAACACGGATGACATTCCTATAGGAGCTGCGAGGTGAAAGATGGCCATCTGTACCTGGTAAAGATCTGGCAATAAAACTACGAAATGACCACACGTCTTGTGGAAAATGCACACAGCTCGTGTGATGACACAAATGTTATGTATAGGGACACAAAAAGAGGAGGAACTGTGACGTAAAAAAAAAAAGCCAGCAAGAGAATGATGGCATGGAAGGGAATAATGTAATGACTGAGTGGGTGGCGAGGCAGAGGTGGTTGCTTCACCCACGTCCAGCACACAGAGAGGGATGAGAGGCATGTGATGGAGCTAGGGGAAGGATATAGTTAGATTCTAGGAGTAGTGCCTGCGGTACAGGTTTCAAATAAGTGGAGAAAAAAAAATCTAACATACAGCTCTCCAAGGTAAAAGGTTGTCACGTTAATGTGTAATCTGTAAACGCCAGTTAACGACACAATTAGTTCATCTAAATGTCAACCTGTGATAAGATTGTAGAACAAAGAGCAATATCAGTTCAAAAGACACCGGAAGGTACCAACGCAGCTCCTAGAGGAAGTAAACCACACATTTCCTGCAGGGGTGTTAACTTAGCTGACATGGAGGTTGCCTGGAAGGGAAAAAAGGAAATGGAAGAAAGAAACACTGTCCTTTCCGAGGTTACATAGCAGCAGGAACCCACAAGAATCCCAATCATACATCATTGGATCAGTTTTTTGGTTTGTTTTTTTGGGTCTAAAATGGAGGGCATGAGAAGTGACATTCAGGCCGGGTTGTGAAGAAAACACAGCTGGCATTTCTTTAACCGTTTAGTGCCCTCTGTGCAAGAAGTTGTTTTTTTTTAATAACGAAGCTCAGCAGCACCCAAAAACAGAGTCAAAAAAATCTCTCTCTCTCTGTAACGACACCATTTGGCTCCAACAAAACCAAGTCACAAGCAACAGTTTCTCATGGGTTTGTTTTCCAGAGGGCTGATGCGCATCCTGTATTATCAAAACACTTTCAAAGTTTTTGTGTGACTCAGTCATACCCAGGCTGTTGGCTCACAAGCTGACAGTCACTGGCCAGTTGATTTGTTGATGTTTACATGCAGCCAAATTTTGTAAACATATGCAATTTTCTTTAAGGAAGCTTCAAATGAGCCAATTAGAAAGAGTCCAACAATTAGACTGGACTAATTGATATTTTTGAGGTTTTGTTCTCTGCCCGTTTCTGAGAAAACTCTGCATGGCACCCTTAAGCGGTTGGTTTCCCAAGTCACAAGAACACTTTCACACTTTTCTCTAGTGGTTGATGGCCAAGCAGAATTTTAGTTGGTAAAACAACCCAATAAAGTGGAAGCGAACAGAGTTAAAGCCACAACTTCAGTTTCCAAAAAAGGATAAATAAATAAATAAAAGCTACTTCACTTTTGGAGCTACCGACCGTCTTGTATTCCCAGCAAATAAATTAGAGCCTGCTGTGTTCAGGCGAAAGCCAAAGATAAACAAAAACTAAGTGCTTCCCAGATTTGTGCCGTAGCAAACAACAACTTCATCCTGAGTTGTTTTGCTGTACTGTATTGGCTAAATGTATTTATAGGAGCCTATCATTTATTTTTGACCGCACATCAATATTTAAAATGTAGTAAATATAGATTTTATTCTTAAAATTTTTGGAGACCTTATTCACCAGGTCTCAAAAGCTATACTCCTATAGAGCTACCTGATGCGTTACCAACACGTCTGCACTGTGAAGCGGAATCTTTTTGCATGGACAGAAAAGTCAAGCTCAGAATAACGTCATGTGACTTTCAGCTTCTTTAAAGTGGAGCCCTCCACAAATGGGGTTCACTTCTTAAAGACATCGCACACCTCTTTATGGCAACAGAGGAAATATTTGTAGAGGTAGTTACAGAACCTGCAGCTCCATTTAGAAAATAAACTCTTGCAAGTTCAAACAAACACTTGGAAAGTTCAAACAAACAGGAAAAGATTTTCCTCATTTGTCATTTCCTGCCTGCAACAATGCCGCAGGATTATACAGAAAGGTGACCAAATTAGCCATGTAGACTCCAGGAGTGGGGGGGGGGGGGGGGCAGTCCAGAAGTGTATACTTCTGAATTCTGGGCTGAATATGTGGACACCTCTATGTGCGTGTGAAATGTGAAAAGCCTTCCAGTCACAGACGGGCACCACTTCAGCTTTCTTTTATCTTTTAGGCAACAGAAGAAGACATGTCAGCTTGCTCTATTTGCTTCTTTGGCTGGAGATATGGGAGGATCTCAAAGCTTGACACCTGCGTTTCTAACCAGCGCAGCTGCCCGCAACAAACAGCAACGGGGTGTTTCTCCCCCCCCCTCCCTCCCCCTCACCCTCCACCCACCCCACAACTTCGCTGCGTGGGTGTAACGTGGTTGTGTTTGTGTTAAGACAGACGCCCGCATGACATAACATGCAGATATTTGGTTTGCTGGCATTTTACACGTCTGAAGTGCACACTAGTTCTCACACACTTGTCCGGTAATAATAAGAACGACGGTCATACTCACCCTCAGGGCTGCGAGGTCTATGTCATCCAGGCTTCGCGTGGGGGCGTTTTCAGACATAGCTGGCGAAACTTAGGACGTTAGCTAACAAGTTAGCCAATTATCGAAAAAAAAAAAAAAATCTATATATCTTCGGAGGAAAAGGGGGAAAAAACGAGTGACTTTATATGAGCTCGAGGTGGCTTAGTCTACCGGAAACATCCAGTGATTTGGCTTCTCGGCGTGTCGAAGCTGTTGCGGAACGAGCCCTCAGGGAAGCAGAGCCATGGCAGACCCGCCACAGACTCGCCCAGCTGGCTAGCTCACGTCAACTCCGACCAGTCTGACAGGGCACGCGGCTAAACCTCGAGCTACGAGACCGTCGGCGTAAAGTTTAACTATTTCGGCGAACGGTCGACGTCGTTGCCAGCCGGACCATTTAGGGGCGAATTAACAAGTGGCAGGCTGGAAAACGCGTCGCCCCTCCGCTGGTCGCTGAACACCTTGCTGCGTTTACTCTGACGAGACGCCGCGTCGCCGCCGCTGCACGACATCCCAGCTAACGCAACCCGGATACATGTCGAGGAAAACACAAATACACCCAGGTTAGGCTACTGTACCACGTCTTAATCACGTCGATAAAGTGTAAAGACAACATCAACGGCTGGGGTGCTGTTGGGGTGGGGGTGGAGGGGGGGGCGCAGTGGTTGTTTTTAAGGAGAACGCAACGTCTGATGTGATGGCGTCCGTCCGGGTCCGTCCGCACAGCACCAGAACCGACCGTCACACTGTCACTATCAGCCTCGTGTGGATAGGATTCTAAAATGTTGCTGCAGAATAGGGTGGGGGAGAAAAGAAAAAAAACGAACTCGTTTCCTGTGTCGGTAGTTGTCAAAGTTATTACAGATACTTAAATGTCCACCAAGTGCGCGAAGGTAGTCCGAATATCGACTCAGGTGTGCCCGACTACCGTAACCTGAACGGGTTCGCGAACGCAGCTAAGTTAGCAAGCTAAACTATCGTTTCCAGAATAAACTTTCCCTCCTCATCCATTTTCTGTGTTGACAGTCGCGCCTAGCACTGCCAACCTTCCGGGGAAAACACGGGCAGGCGCAGTGTTCTCGCCAGCCACCGTAATGCTCGAAGCCTGGAGCACTCCACTCGTTAAAGTTAACTGCTGCCGTCCTTCTGCAGCATCCGGATATTATTTTTTTTCTTAGGAAGTCGTCTATGCAATTTGACCGTGTCAGATATGGTGCAGTTTCTACCTGCAGACAGGAGCCAAACTTGTTTAATTCGCCATGTTTTGCCTCCAAAGTCCACCCTCCCACTCGCAGCCTGGACTCGGTGCTGAGGGGCTGTTCTGGCTCCTCGCGACACCCCTCGAGTGTTTTTGTGAGGAGCTACGGTGCTGCGCCAGGGACAAATGACCCGAGACGCTACTGTGGACCCCAACCTGCTCACCGGCCCCCCTCAGCTCTGAGCTGATGTCATTCCCTCCATGCCTGTCCTCTTCTGACCTTTTCTGATGACTGAACACACCCCATAAAGTTATATTACACTACACACTGCCGGAGGGAGACGATTCTCCTGAATTTTGTCATAATGACTGAAGTAACTTCTTATTATTAATGCATGTATTTCTTCTTTGGCTCGGAGTTCCTCTGTCATCGTAATAGGTTCGTATTGCTGTAGCTGTTTATCCATTAAGTCAGGTCTGCTTTGTCTCCAGCAGATCATAATGCTTTTCAATAATGTAGGTTCATGTCCAAAGCCGTTCACCAAGACTTCAAGAGGACGGTGTGGTTTATCTTAAAACAACCAAATTCATTCTGAAATCAGCAGGGAAGGCACAGGTTTCCACTGGCACAAATATTACCATAGAAAGACAGGAAGTTTGGACTGATATACAGGATACATACCTTCATTTATTGCAAAGTACAGGGTTTTTCCCCCCAAAGTGTTAGTTATGTCACTCATAATGCAGTGGTACAAATATGCTGTGTAATCTTCTATAAAAAACAATACAAGAAAGGGTTATAATTTTGGTCTGAGTAATTACAATAAAATGTATAATCTCTTACAAAGATAAGAATACATATAAAAGTCTATTCAGTTAAAAACAAAGGCACAAAGGTATAAAATACATAATATATCTCTACTTGTATTAATAGGTAAAAATATTTAGAAAATCTACCCCTGAGTGTTAGTGGTCCTTTATCTGTGTGTAACAGTCTCTATACATATCTGACTACACAGTTTTTCACTTGACCGTGTAAGATACAAAACACAAACAAGTCAAGTTCATGGAACATTCAGAAAATTGTCTCAGCAATGATGACAAAATTACAATTCATGATAGTGACGAGTCTAATGTCACTCAACAGTGTGTCAAACACATTTTCTGCTGATCCTTTAAAAAAAAAACTGCAAATTTCAGCATTTATTTTGTGCAATGTGAATGAGGCTAGCAGATACCCAGTTTGTAGCGTGTAAGGGTTAGAGTGGCTTTCATCTTCAGGGTAAAAAAGAAAATGAATATTTTAGTATATTTTAAACCATCAAAGTATATTTCCTAAACACAAATGGCTTTACTGGCTTCTCTGTGGAAGGTGCTTTGTGTAGCGTGAGGCACTGTTCTCATAGTGCACCTCTTATCTGGCATATTTACAGACGTGTGCAGTGGTATCACAAAGGTAGTGTTGTTGACCCATGGAGGAGTGTCCAAATCTTCAACAGTCTGCACACACAGTCTGTGCAAATTAATCTGCTTCAACAGGTTTGATTTTTTTAGGGATTCTTTTTTTTACTGATGGCATTGTTCTGCACATCAATGCAGCTTTCCAGGTCATTTTGGGATGTCTTAACTGTATATTCCAAAATACAATGGACATCACCAAACCGTCAAGAACAGACCAATAAAAATAAGAGGTTAATCCATTTCACATTCCTCATATGCAGCCTTTTTGCTGCTGTTCTCTTTAAGACTGATACTATACAAAACTACCGTAATTATGTCCCATTAGACACAATGTAACCTGTGTAAATATGAGTTCAATTTCCCCTTTCACCTCATTTTCCTATTTACTGCATAAAACCTATACCAATCAATTGTAAGAGGGACTCTAGCACATCTACAACACCAATACCACAAACCTGGCCACCGCAAGAGTCACAGATTGATCAGCAACAGCCCCTACTCAAGGCTTCAAGGCTAGGGTTTTTACTATAGATTTAAGTAGCACTTTCAGCACGACAGGAACAGTGTCAGACACGTTATGTCACTTCTTGGTTTGAGCTAAACAAATGGCTTGTGCCTGTGGGGAATGTGGACTCCACGCACCTACACACAACATGGAAATAGCAACACAATGTGGTGGTCAGATGGAATGTTCTGAACAGGCAGCAAAATGGTGAAACTAGAATTCACTCGGTTGTCATGGGGACGTAAAGAAGTGCAACAATTAACAGTAAATCGACCTAGCACCCTTTAATCATCTTGTCCCCCTTTTCTTTTCCCGCTCACATTTGCTTTCCATTAAAATATTATGACTCCTCTTCCAGAGAAACCCTTGTCTGCCTATCATAGTTTGGCTTTCTGTTCCTCCGTGCACCATCCCTCGCTTCAGCACTCACCATTTCCTTCCCCTATCCAGTCTTTATTTCAGCTACTACCCAGTCATCTCTTTATATCCGTCACCATAACAACCACAAATGTTCTGACAGATTTTCTGGCGCTGCAGCAAGAGGTGAAGCCTCAGAGGGAGACAGCGAGAGCATGAGAGAGAGAAAGAGACACAGTCACCCACCCACCCAAAAATCACGCACCAATAAATGTACACTATGTTCCCAGATCATGTGATAAGCTCCATTTTCAATACAACCTTGAAATCCTCTAGTGAGTCATACATTCATTTATATGAGGTGCACCACCGCTAAGCCTGCAGTTCAGATTGCACTGTAGAAGTTATGGAGTGGGCTCTGCCATCAGGAAGAAACAACGGCCAGCAGAAGTTCACCTGCCGGTCTAACAGATTATCATTTCAGTGGCTACAGCTGGACTAAATAAGAAATTAACAGTGTTAAGATCTGACTTTCTCACTACTTAAGTGCTGGTGTGGCCTGATATTATCTGTAGGTCAGTCCTCACACTGTCTGATGGGCTGCTCTGATCTGGGCTGTGGTTATGTCCACAGCTCTTGGGGAGCCATGCCCTCTTTAGTATTCCGTGGGGGCAGCAGGTTTTCCTCACACAGAAATTTCAGAGGGAAGTGAACCACCAGGCCCCGGACGGCCTTCAGCTCCTCTGCTGCTTGCTCAGGATCTGTCTCACAGAGGCGTTCCTGGACGGAGTACTGCCTCAGCTCCTGCATGTTGCGAACAGTGTTGCACGGCAGGCATTTGAATATCTGCATCACCAGTGGTTTGCATGTCAGAGGAAGAAACACACAGAAAATGAAGATGAGGACATCGGCATTAATGATGGAAGAGATGTGCCATTTGTGAGGATTCATACCTTGTCGTAGATGTTGGCGTTCTGTTTAGCTCTTTCATTCCACACCATGAAGAAGAATTCATCACAAATCGGATCATCTATGACAATGCTGGGATCTGAAGCTGCTCCAACCAGAACACTGTAGTACCAAATCACAGAGAAGCTTATTTTACATCATGTTGTGAGAATTAAACTGTAAACATGAGTAAAACACTACACTCTTACTTATTAAACCCACTATACATTTACATAGGTCTCAGTTGTGATGTATTTTATAACAGGTAGATCCCCTTCATGGCCAGTAATTGCTCAGAGTCATTAATAGAATGTTATTTTAAGAGCAATGTGCTCTGCCCTGACCTGAAACACTCTTTACGCAGAGCAAGTGTGAGTGGTCCTGCTTGGTACTCCTCTCCTCCCATGATGGATGGGACCCTCTCCTCATCTTCCACAAACACTGCCAGCTCACTATCTCTAGAGCCCAGCATGCTGCGGTCATTGATGTTGGCTGATCCTGGAACACAAGTGGAGAGAGGAAAGGCTTTTAAAATCTGTCCTTTCAGAAGCATGACACAGTCATGTAACTATGTCAGAGTGAGAAAAAAAAGGGTCTTGTTATATTTAGAAACAGTGCTGATTTTCAGCTCATCTTCCGTTTCACTCTATATAACGAACCGTGCAAACTGTTCAGTAACAAGGATTGTTGGTTATTTGTGAATTAAAAGCTTCAGTATTTCAGTATTCTGAAAGGAGTTTGCCGTTTGAGACTCACCAATGATATAACAGCGGTCATCAGCGATGAGAGTTTTGCTGTGAACATAGATGAGCTCTGTGACAAGCGACTGGCAGAGCTGGGAATGTGTTCTGAGGCCACAGAAGGTGATGTACTCCGGCCACTGGTCCTTTACTGGAAGGCAGATTAAAATCATATCATTAACAAATGATAGTACAACAAGACTTTGCTGTAAAGTCCAAGCTCCTTGAGAATGGATGTGGAAAGAAGTCAAAGGAAATTTGTGCAGATGCACACCTACTGCCAGGGGCTTCAATTTACAGGAGCAGCAGCGGGTTAAAGAATGAATCGTGTTAGAGAAGAAACAAGTAGCTGTTTGTGATGTCAGGTGGATTCATAAGTAAAAGCAAAGCAGATAAGGAAGAGGAGACTCACCCTCACTAAGTCTTGACAAAATGGAGTGCTCCCCACGGCACATTGTCCTAATACATTAAAAATGAATACAGTTCAGTAGTTTGAATAATTAAGGCAACAAAATGACACTAAATCCTAAAATGGATATAAATGTATTAAGATATATGTTTCTACATCAGTCAAACACATGTATTCAATTTATTCATAAGTCTAAAAATGGTACCTAAATAACATGAACTCTGTAATCAACGTATTTTCAATACAACCAGAATGAGCAAAACAGCTGAACTCAAAATCTGTACGATAATGTGAAGTTATGGGGCTATTCTTGCTCTCTGGACGTACAGTAGAATAATTCTGGCAGGAAAAAGCGCTCTCACCTATAGGTGAAGTGCAGAATAGCTTGGATGGCATTTCCCCCTCCTGTGCTAATGTCTCCCTCGAAACCAGGAAGCAGAGGGATCACCACAAACACTCTGTATTTCTTCTGTTCTCTAAAGCAACACACAAAGCAAACATCAACATTGCCTATGAGTGTATTTCAATATTAACATGCATCACTTATGTTTCAATAAAATGATCCCTGTAACCTAAAATGTTTCATTTAAATGTAACATCTAGCCAACTGCTGTTGGCAATTTGTTTATAAAAAGCAGTTTCATAAGTTCAAGGTTCAAGAATGTGTAAATAGAAAATGAATGAGGCAGTATCTGGCTTACACAGGCAGATCGTACCTGTGAGCACGCAGGATTCGATTCACAATTGCATCACCAATCCCGTTGTGGATGGACTTCCCGTCGGCACAGCTGATGAAGAACTGGTTCTAAAGGAAGAGAGAAGGCAGATGGTCGCTCAGTATGAGGTGAGGGCCAAACCAAGTAGGGTGCTGGCAAGAAGACTCGTGAAGCCTCACAAATAGGCCAGAGAACCACTCGGCGATCTGACCCGACTCTGCTGCATAGTAAGCATTGCAGTGAAGCATCGCAAACAGAGTCAATGATGAATGAAACCCCCAAATAGGGTCTTTTAGATGTGTGTGTGTTTCCATACAAATCTGAGCCCACACTTGGATTTTACAAATGAAATATCCGCAACTGTACACCTTGAACTGGAGTCCTTGCTACCACAGGAAACGCTGCTAAATTACCTCGATGTATATGTAGTGTTCGCTGTTCTCAATGGTGGTCACGTAGGCTTTGAGGATGGAGCTCTCACAGGTCCCTGTCGACCAACGATCGGCAGAGCGCAACACCTGAGGAAATAGTACATAAAAAATGTATATCGGTCACAGTGAACAGACTGTTATTGATTATAATGCACTCTAAGCTTTGTGCACATCACCAGGACACATGCCCTACAATCATAATTCTCTTACAGATTTAATGAACTTGAACTAAATTTCTTTAACTCAAATCTTGTTTTAAGCAGCTTATAATTGTGCAGAAAGGACACTTGATCCAACTCAGTGGAAAACTGAGTCCAACCTGAATAAAGAAGCTCTGATACCTGATAGGAAAAACCACAACATAATGGGGAGCAAGGGTTGCTATTACAGGCCACCGCCCACGGTTAAAGGAAATGAAAAAAACTCAACTAAAACATACATAGCAGAAATGCTCCCAGTGACAAACAATTGCTATTCGAAAAATAGCAAACTGAAGCATATTATTTGAACTGTGTAATGTGCGTGTTCATGACTGACAGACATCTTTCTTTTCACTTTCTATATTCTGTCCTCCAGTGTCTCCGTAAGCAGGGTTGTTTCAACATGAAACAGGGGTGGTGTTGTTAGAAAACACATCTAATGAAGTCTATTTCTTAAGAAGCTTCCTTTTGTGCTCGCTCTCTGTTCCTGACAGCAAACAAACATGATGGAAGTCATTTTGTTCTACAAGCTGTACTTTTGTGCCACCATCTGCCATGAAAAAGGCTCCCAACAGTGGATAGCTGTGTTTCAAAAGCCAAAAAAGGGCCTTTTTCTTGATCAAAGGCCCAACTGGTTTACTGTTGTTTGATGGTGACAATTTCCTGACCTGGTGGCAAATATTATTTTAAATATCATCACCAATTAGAATTTTACCTGATTTATATGTAAAAGATTTTGATTGATCTGGTTTGAAATAACTGCATTTTAGATATATTTTTTTTATTTACATTAATCAATACAGGCCCTCTTTCAACCAAATCAAAGACACATTTCTATTTTTCAACCCCATTGTACCTTAGATTTAAATTCCTGCTGATGCTTTCTGAGCTTTGTGACTTCTTCACATTTTAGCCTCTTACCAACGGCATATTGTTTGGTACTTCATGTGACTCCTGACCTGACCACAATCAGGTAACATCCACTTAAAACAACACCCTAAACTCCTCTCGTCAGGAGAAATAAATAACATGAAAATCTTCCCCTATTCAAATCCCACTGCACGTTTTCTGATGCCTGTATAGGTGTGTGTGTTGAACTACCTGAACTTTGGCTTTCCTAGAGCCAGGCACCGTGAATGACAGAGAGTCTGCAGTCGAGTGAGACTTGGGAAGAAGGTAGGGGTAGAAATCATCCTTGTACTTGATTTTGAAGATCTAAAATAGACAGCACAAATGAATACACACAAAGTTTTGCCATACTTACTTACCATGTGGGTTTTCACAACTCAACAGTCTGCATATTCAAGTTGAACTTGGGTCAATCTAGTTACTCATTGTCATTAGCTCTATGTAGTGACTTTCAAGATTATTTTTAACTCTGGTGACTGCCTCAGACACTGGAAGCTTTGGATGATAAAAACCAAGCCCTCCTATGTGACTGACCTTGGTGAAGTTCCAGCGCTGGATGAAGTGGCGGGCTACATCTCTGGCAGCTCTGCCGTGAATAGCCGCAGACAGATCACGCCAGGGCATGCGAGGCACTTTCGTGCGGTCGATGTTATCTGAAAAAAACACGAAGCAACCCTTTCATACTCCTGTTAGATACTCACTGCTTTTCCATATAATGCGAACAAAGGTTTTGATAACGTACCTTCGAACGGCCTGTCCAGCTGAACCCAGTCTTTTGCGATGAAGTTACTGTAGTCTTTGCCCAGCCATAGCTTCGTGTTACCAGTCAGATTGTCTGGGGCCTGTTGTGCTGGGTCATCTGTTTTTTGGCCATCAGCCACACCATTATCCTGGTTAAAAGAGTTATCCATTAGGTTCTGTTGGAGGCTAGGGTCTGTCAAAATGCAAACATCCTAGTTCATGAGCAACAGTAAATTGAGCCAATCCACAAGCTGAACAAGTTAAAACCTTACTGTCACTTCTGCCGAGGGCTGTTCCTCTGTTGCACCATTTGATGTTTCAGTCAAACCCAAATCTGTCAGTCGGTACTGACTGTCATCCCACCTTCCGAAAGCCAGGTCAATGCCCCCTACGAAGGCTACAGTCTGATCAATCGCCACCATCTTTTCATGGTGAGCCCAAAAGAACACCACAGACGACAAATGGTCAGGATGTCGCATTACCTGATAGACGACAGGAGAAAAACTACCATTAAAGTATTTAAAAATATGAGTCTCTTTTTCTGACAGAAATGCATTGTTTCTCTCTGTAAATAAAGATATGCAGAGAGGTGACGGACCTTGATGTTCGGATTCTTATTCATAAGGGTCCTCTTGCTGTAGTCACTATTAATGCCAAGGGCCACCTCTACTTCTTTGTACAGAAGGACACACACTTTGACTCCTTCTTCCTGCATGAAAGGTTCAAAAAGAGGAAAGACCATTCAAAATGGTCCAGGGGCGAAAATAATAGGAAGAACACAGACGCAAATCTTACTGCTTTCCGTTTAAGTATCTCATCCAGACGCCAGTGAGTATCAGTTGCTGGCCTCTTTAGAAACACTTCAGGGCTAAGCCTAAGAGAAAATATATCACACTTAAGACTGTACGAGATTGACTTAATGAGTAACTAAAATACTTTCATATAAAAGTTAGAATGAGCATATCTAGAGCTGTCTGAGTCTTACCACCAATCGGTAATGAAGATTTCCTCCTTGGCCTTCTCAAGAGCATCAGCAAGGTCTGCAAAGTAGCCACTTCCATTCACATACCTTAACAGACATCGATAAACTGCATAGGTTATCACTCAACTGGGCTGGTACAGAGGGTTATTGCACTTTATAAATATTTATGCACATTACACATATAAGGAGACCAAGCATCTTACCATTTAGTGAGAGAGGCCTCTCGTGGTGGAGCAAATCCCTCAAAGCGATGCAACTTCAGGAAGTCACAGCGGTCAGCCAGCCCGTTGATTTCATGAGTCCACCATTGAGTTTGTCTATAACTTCTGCATTTGATTATTAAGTTCCTGGTTAAGAAAAAAAAAACACACGCATCATAAGTGCTTTACCATCAGATAAGCTGAAAGAATTCCCATCCTGCATGTACTAAAACACAGAGAACACACCGGGTAAAATTCTCAATGCAGAGTCCATGTTTTGTGTCTGTGTAGGCGTGGCCCACTTGGACTTTGAACTCCGGGTCGAATAGCAGCACAAAGTTGATGTTGGCGCTCCGACGGTTCATATACATCAGGAAGGAGTCTTTCACCACCAGCCAGCGGTGCGACCAGCGGAAACAAAATTGGTGATGACCAATGCAGTTCAGACCTTGGATCCGGTGACCTCCTGACCTCTTGATAATGGGTCCCTCCCTGAGGCAAATCCGCACACACATACAACATAATAAGCCCTTTCATGCATTTGGTGATCTTCCCTCATACTTTTATCCCCACACACATCTGGCCAGAGTGTTTTGCTTACAAGCCCTTGGGTCCCAGATCAGTGACAAAGGAGAGAGCACTAACAGAAAGAAATTCCAGCTGAAAAGGGGATGAAGACAGAGACTATTAAATCAAGCCATATGACAAATACAAGTATAGCATAACTGGATATAAGCACTTACCATGCTATGGTCATTCTTACAGAATTTATTTTCCAGTATGCCATTCAGGTACTCCTCAAGGTATTTCTGCATTAGAAAAACAGGATGATAATAGACTAAAAAGATGTTCTTTATTGAGATCAACAAGAGCAAAACACAATATTATGCTGTAAATGACTAACATGTGAAAACTATTAAAAAAATTGGAAAACAACTGGATAAAAGAGGGGAGCATTAAAAAAAGTGTTTATTTGGATGAACTATTTTTATCTGGCACCAACCAGAGCAAATTAAAAACTCCTTCTCATTTAGCTGATTAATATGTTGCACACAACATGAGTGACCAAGTACTCAGCAAGGAAACAATAAAGTGCCTGTTCAAACTTAATGCAGAATCTGGAAATTTTAATACCATCTTGCTGGAGGTTCTTCTGGTCCGTTCAGTCCCGTGTAAGCTGGGCATTTCGTCTGGTATGGCCCTCAGCTGTTGCCTATCCGTGGCAAATATTTTAGAAAAGCATAAATTCTCTAAATAATCAGTACAGAAGTGGTCTGACATTAGAAACACAAAGCAGCCCATCGCCCAGATTTCAAATGCACATCATTCAGAGGGAGAGGCTGATTTGCATGACTGAAACACTGACCTTCCCCGGAGGTTCAAGTGGCGCAAAATCTTGTGCTTGTGAAGGTCTCGATGCAGCTCCTGAAAGTGCTTGTACTTCCTCTTCACTACCCAGTGGAAAGGGCCGTGTGTTAGATACACTGTGTACAGGGTTCCTACATTGACCTGGAGAGATTTCAGTCAAATCTCACACTATGCACTGTGCTTTAAAACGAGAAAGATCGAATAACAAAGTAATTCAAGTGGCATCAAATCCACTTATTATTCCACCCTGTGTTGGCATTTCTATTTTTTATATCACATCAAATAGTTTCCACTGAATTGCATTATGTCACACTGATGATGGGATGTTAGCTTTATCTCGACATGCCACATGAATCGCAACAGGGTGAAGTGATGGTCAGGCTTGTCTCTACACCACTTATTTCAAATTCAGGACGAAGAGACGAAAATCACCAAAGTGTCCTTTGCCAATCTTGCCAAACTGAAATGGTTTAATGTAAACATGCAATTCTGATTCTACCGACTCTCATATATATGACCTGTGGAATGAAAATCAGAGACATGGGATGGAAAGAATATGCAAACTGGATGAGTTATTCAAATGTATCTCAATTGTGTACAAGTCACTTTGCAAAGGTGCAAACCTAAAGTTCTTCCCCAGTTCCATACTGAATTGTATACAATTAAAATGCCACTGACACCTAAAAGTCCACACTGCATAAATCTTTCCTCTATTAATATTGAATTACACAATAAAGAAATTTCACATCTACCGATCCGTCTGTGCATACAATGTGAGACAAAAACACTGGTAATAATTGGCACGGTTCTCTTATGCAGTTAAGAGTCTATCAGCAGTTTTGTTATTTAAGTTAAATCAATATGATAAAATAACAGAAAAGTAACTGCTTTGACAACAAAAGTGTACACAGATTTAAAGTATCAGCAGTGATTGACATGAGAGGGTCTGCGTGTCAAACTGTAAAAATAATCTTCACATGTAACAGACAAGAAACATATGCTATTTGTACTATGAGATATACTATGAATATGATACTATCTATATTATTATCATCATATTTGTGTTTTGATTTTAGGTTTATGTGTCCCATGAGTATCAGTTGCATTTGAACAACTTTCAAGAACCTTTTTTTTAAACAATATTTACCTTTGAGCGAGTAGTGTATCTCTCTGTGTTATCCACTCTGCATGTGATAGGACTGTTGGGCATTAAGTACTGTTCATGTTTAATTTCAGGGAGGTGATGAACAATTTGAAAAGAACGCCCATCTGCAACACAAAAAGTTTGAATTATTGAGATTTAGTAAATGAGCAGCTCTCTTTTATTATGTTTAGCTATGTTTCATTCCTTACCACTGTTTGAAACGAGGCCATCCAACTCATCTGGACTCAAATGGTGGACGTCATGGGAGAATCGCCTTCTGTCCAGGTTATGGGCTGCAGAACTCACAGCCACTGGCTCAATCACATCCTCTCCACTGGCCATCGCACTGTTGTTGCAGGTGCCAAATGGCCTGCTGTGTGGAAAAAAGAAAGAGGTCAAAGTTTGATTACTAGGAAAACTCAATACTACAGTTTTAACAAATGCAAAACCAGCATCAGTGTCTACATCTAGACTGAAGTTAAGATATTATAATACACTCAATATATTTGCTATTAAAGAACCTACAGCTGTGTTTTAGCAGCATGAAAAGAGATTTGGAAAAAGCAATGATGCCCCTCCTACACCCTTCTTCCTGTAAAAACTACCTTCTCAACTAAAACCCAAGAGGTTTTCAACCTCTGTAGCTGGTGTGCTAGTGCTTGGAGACATGGGTTTAAAAGTGGATATCATCTCAGCAGACAGGGGCATAAATTGAACGCACAAAAAGATGAACAGAAGCTAATCTCAGCTGCTCAGCAACTAGGAATAGATTTATTTGATGAAATACTGTAAAACTATCAAAAGCAGAGGACTTTAATACACCACAGGCATTGACCTGCTGCTTTTGCAACATATGAGACGTTGAGTTACCAGGGAGAAAAGAGGGTGTGTATGAAGCCCTTTGTGTGGTGTGTGGGTTGATATCTTTGAATGGCTGTTTCCTGGGAAACAAGGCAAAAGGGAAGGGGGGTATGAGTGTACAGTATATGTGCCTGAGAAGGTATAAGGGGAAACACTTTTAATGAAGACGAAATGTGTAAGATTAGAACCACATATATATCCTAAGTGATATCTAATACGTCAGAGCCTCATATAGAACAGCTAAAGAAAAAAACAGAAGCCTGAAACAATAGGTAATGCCAGGACTGGCAATGGAGACTGAGTAGGCACATCACTGAAGATTGGTAATATGGGCAGATGAATATATTTCATTATCCTTCAAAGAAGTGCATTTCTGCTGTAATGAATCTGTTTTATAACATTTTTCAAGCTTCCTTTCCATTCAACCTCATGTACAGCATCTCTCCATAGAGAATACTGTGATTTAGGTTATTATAATCAGGGTATAAATTCCAAAGTTAGTCACTGTATGACCACTTATTTGTTACAATTAACTGTGCTGTGAGGGAAAATTTTGATAAGAATGGAGATATGAGTATATATACCCACTTAATCGCAAATACACAATTAGAATATGCTGTGTATTCATAGTAAATATTAGTTATAACATAATTATTATATCTTCAGCATGTGTACTTCCCAAGGAAAATCAAGAGATGTTTTACCACTAAAATATCCATGTCCATTTAAAAATTTCCCCAACGTTTTTCAGCTGATTTCTTTCAGCCATGTAAAGGGGAACTAAACAGTTATTTGTTCTCTTTGTTGCACTAAACCATTACTATTAAGCTTGTAAAGAAAAAGATTGTTCAAGTATGACCCTGAAAAGTTTTAAGTGCACTGAACATGCCCTCATCATTGCATAAACACCAAAGTCTGATACTATCTGTGTCAGCAGAGAAGGCTAGCGATGACCTCAGAGGATTTTCTTGTTTTCGCCTGTTGAAGGCAAAACTAACTCTGCCACTTACTCAGGTTGCATTTCTGTAAATGTCCACTGACTCAGGTTCCTTAACAAGAATACAAGATTGGAAAACAATGAACAACAAGAATTCCCAGGGCTGTCAATATATGTTTTTTCCAAAGAAAAAAAAAAACCTTAGGAATTTTTGTGATTTACAAGCAATTTTCGCAAAAGCCTGTCAAGAGCCAACAGAGCTAAGGGGTATTCATCACAACTTTGGCCACATAATGGACAGTACTAAACAAGCATGTGTGACACTAGAGTGTGTTCATCAGAGGTTTCAACAAAGAACTGTGAAGTAGATCATACAGACTTATACACATTCAGTGTTTAAAATGAGTAACTACTAATAAAAAAAAGGTTTCATAGTAACACATTTTCTCATTTCTGATCAATAAGTTGTCTTTAAGTTTCTATTTAAATGAAAAAGAAGTTGCCATCCAATCCACTAGTTTTCAAGCCCACTAACAATGTTATTTCTAACTATAGAAACAAAAAATATTTGCAAGAAAATGAGAAATTAATAAATTACTACTACTAGTTCAATTTGATGGATAAGTTCTAAAAATAGAAGTGCTACATTTCACTAGAATATTCAAACATTTTAATATGCAACAAGTTTACACTTCTTGCAGTGATGACAAGGTCAGACAAAGTAACTGGGTGTGGTAACAGGTGAAAGAGCAGCCCAACAATGAAACGCTCCAAATTCTAACTATTCAAGGAGTATTCAAATCTACTTTAAAAAAAACAACCTTCAGATGGCTTCCACAGCCTCTGATCAGAGAACTGAAGGGAAATAAATAAAGGACTATTATACTTTTCTTTGTTTGTTTGGCACAACTACCATAAATCTAGACCCATCAAAACATAAATAAAATCTTAAAATTTCCCACAATATTCACTAGAATGAAAAGAAGGAAGACTCCTACTTTATGAATTGTGAAATCTATTGAGTCGTTTCAGGGCCATAATGTTGTTTTCTTTATTCTAAACAAATAAAACCACACCATAATTCACTCTGCGGTGACCTTTGGTGCGCAAATCTTGACTTTCGGTTTGCTTTGGGCTTTTGCAGACCCACTACACAACATGAATGTCAGAAAGAGTGACACCAAATCACGGGTTAGGCGTATCTGTCACAGGCGGCTAAAACAAGAATGTTGAGTCAACTATCGACTGTTAAGATCGTCATTTTTTCCGGAAAAAAAAAAGTTTGGCTTGCAACAGGCGTTCAGCGTTCCATCACGTCCTAAAAACATTCAAGTGATCTGAGACACAATCTAAGAATTGGAGACAAAGTTATGAGAGCAAACGAGCCCATGTCGCTGCTTTGAGAGGGGATGGGAGTTCGGATGGAGTTACAGATTATTTGGGGCTGTCACGGTGCCGCATTCTGGTCAGATCGCACATCTGTCTGAGCCCAGATCAGACCAGACCACAGAAAGCTTTTCTCGGCCGCTGAGAAACTACTTTAAATAACCAGTTTAACGTGGCCGTGGAGACGCAAACTGCTGAGGGCTGAGTTTGTCGTCTCCACCCAGCCGATGGCTTCCTGCGGCGCCCGGCCACACAAAACCATTCTTCCGTCTACAAAAGTAGTCCAACGCGTCCCGAGGAGAAAGTGGCGATGACATTTACGCATGACAACTGCAGTTTTTTTTTTAAAGGTAATTGTTATCGCATTGTTATCGTTTCTGTGAAATTTGTCGCCAAGCGATCGTGGCTGCGACAGCACAGCCTGGAGGTACGGGCCATTTTAGGCATGGAAATGTACTTACTCCGAATTCAGTTCTAGCCACGGCTCAGTTTACACTTTTATCTCCACAAACGGGACGGAAAGAGTAAGTGCCCAGCTAGGCAAGAATGTCATCCATCCAGTGTTTTAGAGAGGAGTTCATCAGTGTTCCCTGTAGGTGATGCGCACTGTAGTCCCTCCCATTCGCCTTCCCGTGGGACAGATTGAGTACACACATCTTGGAATGGTTTATAAAGCTTTATTGTAAGAGATGTGGAACAGCTTTATTGTGTTGCCATGATTGAAAACAGGTTATGTCCTAAACCACAGAAAGTTGGGATGTTTAGGATGACTACGCAGCTGTGCAGGAAGCACACAAACACACATGGAAAGCTGCACTTGGCTGAAACCATTAAAGGTTTCTGGACATGGAGGGGGGGGGGGGGGGGGCAACAAGACCCAACTAGTCAGCGGTGAAAAAAACACGCCCAGGAATTTAGTTTGACGTTCCGCAGGCGAGACTGCGTGGATGCCTACAAAAAAGAAATCACGTAAAATATCACGAGACTTCCGGCAAACGTCAAAATGAAACTTTTTGAGGACATAGTGTGCAAACGTTTAACCCAGCTCTTTTATGCATGTTAGTATGTTTTCAAAACGGTTATATATTTTGAGAGGTAAATGAATCACAAGGAAAACATACTTAAACAAAATTACATGCAAATATTGTTAAAGTCTATAATTTGACGCACCGGAAGTTGCCTTGATTTAACGCAAAACCAAAATATTTTAACACCACGTTATCATGCGGATATGTGACACAATCAGTACAGTAATTCCGAGATGAAGTACCACTGCAAGTGATGACGACAAGGTAGCCTGTCAATAGTACACGATGGCACATGCAAACTGGTGGATTTGCATGCCAGCCACAGACCTCTCACTGATTAAACACATCCAGCCCCAGGCCAAGACAGGAAGCTGGATATGATGTAATCAAAATGGATTCAAGATGCATTAGAAGGCAATAGCACTGCTGTCTGGAATTTGGGCATTATTTATTCCACTATCTTTTACTGAACATTTGTTTTCAATACCCACTGCTATCATACCCTGGACACAGGACACTTTTTTGCACAGATCACAATGCAGCATAAATTCAGATGTGGAAGAAGTAACTCAACCATTCATGATGTTTAGTCTAAAAAATGCCTACATTAGTGTAGTGCAGCTTCAAACCACATATCTGTCCATTTACAGTGTCCATGCAGAAAACATATCCTGAAATTCAACAAATGAGCAGAAAAAAACTTTATTTCATTTTTTATTCCACTGAAAAATAAAATCAATGAACAAAATATCATAGTTGACACAAAGTATTTAATTCTACAAAATGACACAATGAGAAACAATTAAATACTTAGCTGGCTCTGATTACTTGCAAGTTCTTCTCATAAGACATATTACACACATACTGATGTATTGGGTCTTTGGCAGATGTTTTTCAGTCTGAAACATAAATGAGCTCCAATAAAAAAGTTTAAAAAAGCATGTTCAGTTATTAATCATTCTGTGTAATAAATGGGAGGATAAGCCAAAAAAGTAAAAATTAAATTAAATATTTCACACTAGCAATTTTGATTAGAAAAATTGCTTTATGGTGGTTCTATGAGGCCTGAATCATGGGCCTGTTTGAACTCATAACACTTTTATTTACCGCAAAACCAACTAAACATATTGCAACTGCAACATATTTTTATGGTGACTATTGTAATGTAAAAGGTGATTGTCATAACAAGTCCTATCTGTGGATTTGACATATTCCTCTTGCTCAAACTTGCACAAACTTTAAACTACGTTGCATTTTTGGATGCAAACAAGTTTCTGCCTAACGGTGACTAACTGTGGAAGGCTGTGGTGATTCTGAACACAGATTTACATGACTTGACACCCTGGATCTAATCATGGCAGTCGGTTTTCATTGATGCTCACATGAGACACTATGAAGCAAAGAGAACCATGGAAATGTCTTGACAGGACGATTGCCTTATTGCTTTAACTCGGGACATATTTTTTACTGTCTCCAGGAAACGGAAAATCTGGTGCTCTGTTGAAGTGTCCTGTCAGGAAGATGGATACAGTGCCGATGATGAAGAGGCTAATGGCAGCCCAAAAACACACCTTGTCAATCATCTTCCCAATCAACACCCAGCTTTCAATTTCCTATTTAAAAAAAAAAGAAATACAATGCAGATAGAAATAAACATTAGCTTGGGCAACATTAAACGAAAAAACTCAACCATAACATATTTGAAATTGTGTCAAAACACTCACAGATCCAATGTCATTTTGCTGTCTTGTGCTCTCAGCGATAAAGTTGCAGGCGTCCACACATTGCTTTATTTCTGGTGCAGCCTGCGCCAAACTCTTGTACAGATTGGCTGTGCTGCTTACATCTATACTGTCCACTAGGGGGAATGACACACAATTAGTTAGATCCACTCACTTTCTATCACTTGATGATGACAAATCAGAAATGCTTTAGTTGTTCTCGTACACCAAATAAAATGTTTGAAAATAGCAGAAATAGAAAATACATAAAGCATTTTTATCATCACAAATTACTGTAAAGCTCATCATTTGGCACAGAAACACCCTAAAGTGTTGGGAATGTTCAAGCAGTTATTTGAGCAGAAGTTCGAGACATCCTTTAAAAACCGTCTCACCAATGGAGCGCGTCAGACCATGCCTCTCTCTCTGTTTGTCGAACATCATTTCACTGCGAGGCTGTTTCAGCACGTACTCCTCTGCTCTCTGCATGAGGCCGAAGGAGCTGCGTCGCCTCTCCTTTATGCCGTTTACCTCTGCTGTCATCTCACCGTCATCCACTAATGGGGACATCCCCAAGAAGCGAGGTACCATTTCCAAGAAAAGCTGGAGGGAGGACAAGCCTTGTAAATTCACAAAAAGAATAACCGTGGGATATTTGTGCACAAATGTTGCTCACATGTTTGATGCCGTGGGACATTGTGTGAGTGTTGGGGCTGCGCAGGGAAAAGTTCAGCACCACAATTTGATTTGTAGCAATGAGGGTGGTGACACACATGACAAAGATCAGATACCTAGGGGGGAGATTGAAAAAGACCGGTCACATGGGGAGACTGTTTGGATTACAGTAAATCAAGAAAACCAGTAGGGGTCGGCACAGACAAAGCACTGACTCACTTGCCAATGAGAGGGACAGAGAGGGAAGTCTCAGGGACCTTCTGAGCAATAAGAAAGAGGAACACAGTCTGAGCCAGCAAGACAGAGATGGACACAGTCAGCTTTTGTCCTCCAGCTGTAAGGGGGCAACAGAGATTTAGGAGACGTTGGATGTGCACTGTTAATATAGTATTTTCTGAACTGCTTATTCCCAAATGGGGTTGCAGGGGGACTGGAGCCTATCCCAGTGGTCAATGGGCGAGAGGCAGGGTACATCCAAGGGCTTACATTTTAATGGAGTTTTTGTTTTTATTTGCAAAGCATGTTGTTCACTCTTGTGTGCTAAATGGTTAACGCTGAGTTAAGTAGGTTTATCGGCCACCCGAACAACTGCTTCACTGACCTTGAGCAGGCAAGAAGTAGGCCAATACAACCAGTGAGGAGATGAGGGAGCAGGGCAGAATAATGTTGATTATGTAGAAGAGAGGCTTTCTTTGGATGACCAGATTGAACGTGATCTCCTGATACTCAATGTCATCTGGGGAATATCGGGTATTGATCCTCTTTCTGGCTGGACGATGCACGATAGCCCACTCGCCATTCTCTGATGGATAGAAACATTATTTTTCAAACAGGAAACCTTTTGTTAAAATTTAAACATTTACAGTTTGTTTATTCTTCACCTGTAAAAGCCTCAGGGTCAATGTCCACCCACTCAATAGTCTCCCCTGTTTCCCCAAAAGCCAAGATGAGGTCCACTTCATTGGCACTGTAGGTCTGAGATCTAGCATTGAATTGGGATTCAATGCTAGATTTAGGATATAGCCAGTATATAATAATCTACATCTTTTCAAATGATACATGGATCAAACCTTACCTGAATGCAAGAGTGCAGTTTTGATAGTCAAAAGGGAAGTAGGTGATCTCGATAGCACAGGTGCTGCGATAGATGGCAGGAGGCAGCCAGTACATTCCACCATTGCTACTGATCAATACATTAGCGTAGTAAGCTACATCAAATTTCCCATCAATGCTGCAGTGAGAGAAAATAAAAAGCACAAACAAGTTTTACACAAACTGAATACCTCTTGTTGCAGGTGAATCTCATGCATATTTGTTTTGGACTAACTTGTTTTCCAGGACTATGTCAGGAAGCCAAACGGTGTTGCATGGCACACGAATAACTTCAATGCCATAATAGTCTGATGCATTCCAAGCAAGGCGATAATCGACCCATTGCTGTAGGTAACATGTGAAAGAAAGGTCACCTGGGAAGTTAAAAGCTGGACACAACTGGGGACAAACATTATGGTCTATTTACTGTAGACAAATCAAAGGTCCTGTACACAGATTTAAAATGAGTGGTCAATAAACATAAAAAATACAGGTTTAAAAAGCGGAAAACTCACAATTTCAATCCACACATTGGTCATAAGAGTCTCCTCCTTTTCATTCTGTAATATAAATGGGATAGTGAGAGTGTTTGAGCTTTGTTTATCTTCTACTGTCAAGTTAAGGCTATTATGCAACACTAACGGCTATGTAGTTTTTTCTCATATTCAACTTGTGTTTTTTCACTTTCAAATAGAAGATACATTGGAGGCTTACCAGAGATATGAGGTTGGTGAGTGTCAGCTTGATCTGAACCTCCACTTTGTCTTCAGGATGAACTACAGGCCGAATGTTCTTGTTATAGTTTTTGAAGAGATTTTTGATTAGAATCGATTCTTCATTACATTGTGCTGTATTAAAAAAATGTGGTAAAAAGAGGAAGTACAGTTAGTGTTAATGTTATAATTGTTATCACACTATGCTTTAATCTTGTTGTATTACATTCCTTAGAGCTGAAATGCATTTTGGCCCATTGTACAATGAGGGGGCTAGTAACAAACTAGTAGCACCTGATGTTGTTTAATTGCAAGTGAAATATAGATAGAGATTACACTGCAATTCTAATAATTAAAATCTGCTGTCATTAGATTATACAAGTCTAAGTACTTCACTGTCTTTTTCCTGACCTCCTGAATAGGTTCTTTTGACATAATTGGGAAAAAACCGCATGTACCATAAGTGGAAAAATGTGATGCTTGTACTGTTGTAGGTTTTCCTAGCTGAAGAGGACACATGACCACGATTTTAAACTCAATAAAGAGCTCAAATCAAAACTTCCCAACCAAACTTGACACTCTTTCCCCAAATTATCTCAGTTGGGAGAAGCTAAACCAAAAGTTTAAACTTCATCAGCCCACATTCTCTCTGATGTAGCATTATATTTTCAGCAGATTTCCATTTAAAACCTCCTCAGTTTCAAGTTAAGGAATTTCAAATTAGTCCCTCATCTAATTTTGAAAAAGAAATGTGATTTTGCAGCAAACGTAGAGAGAACTGTGGAATGCACACCATGACAGGGAGGATTCAGTGTCCTGGACAGATACATGTAACTATAGTTATGGTTTCAATATTTGTAATTGAAATCAAAATGGGGCCTTTTTTGGTTTAAATACATGTCAATATCGAAAATATTTAAAGAAGATTGATCAAAATGCTTTTTACAAAGCAACAAAGATGCTGGCCCTTGTGAGCTTTTCATCATCATTCTATCTGCTCCAATCTGTAAAAGAACACATTTCTGAGCTGTAATTCACCCACAGGACAATTGTCTTTGTTGCAGTGACAGTAATGAGATGTTTCGCCTCTAACGCCTTAGTCCAGCTTTTGTTTTTGTGCTATACACTGGAAAAAGAAGAAAACTTGATCTATGATAGTGCAATAAATAGTTCATGTAAAAAAATCCTTTAGCTTCTGAGCTAAAGAAGAGGATGAGCAAGTTGACAGCATGGTCTAATAAAGATAAGTCTCCACAAGACAAATGGCTTTGTTCCTTTGGTTGTAATACACAACATTGGATGCTATTCTTGTAATAGAGCAGTTCCTGCATCATCCTTTGGCAATGTTACAAACCCCACACTGATTGCAGTCAAACAATTACGTGACATTTGAATGGATTTGTTTGAAACAAAGCTGGCACTTTTAGAGCTGTGCCACGTGAGCTGGACCATAAGCAGTGAATGTCTAAATGCGGTTCACTCATTCAGCTCATGTGGATACAAAGTCCAGATAGTATTTGGTGTCAGTGCTTTGACCTCATCCCTTCTTGCAGCTGACACTTAAGCTCGCTCACACGGAGCCGGGGGAGGCGGCAGAGTCTGCAGGTGTCTGAAGGTTAATGTGACTGCAGGCATCTCAAAACTTTGGCAGACAAAATCTGCGTGCTGGTAACCTGGCGGACATGGGCCTTTGTGTCAGGGCAACATGATCGTGCAGGAAAACATTACAACATCGCTGTTTGAGCAGGGAAATGCTTGCCCAAATCCAAATAGTTGCTCTTTCATATCATCCAATACACTTGTGAAAAGGAAACCATGTTGTCTCAGAAGAGGAAGAAAACTATGAAGAAAGAGTTTGCTTCTTTGACCAGAATATTTCTTTGTTTAAAGAGTGCAGCATGGGAACTCTGCAATCACCTATTAATTACTGATCTGGTCCATCATGTTCAGATCGACACAAGGGAACAATACATTCCTATCGTCATTCTTGACCGGAGGTCGACTGTTTGCTCCAAACTCTTGTAAGCTTCTGATCAGGACATGACATCAAGGACCTCAGCCACTGCTCTTGCATCCTAATGTTAGGATGAGTCTTGTGCAAGCCCAGTACTTTCAGTGAGGACTTTTTCCTTTGACTTCTTCGTAAGATAAACCCAAGAAGCATTCAACCATCAAGAATACATTAACACACTGACCGGCGAGACAGACTTGAATACTGATTACCGAAGCATGCCACCAATCACATGTGTTAAAGTCCCATCATGTCCAGGCTTTCACTTTTGCCCCCACAGCAAATTTCTAACATTCTTATACCCCTTAGTGGTCGAGGCCCCATCTGCAAGAATTACTTTCCGTTACTGTCATGACAGGTCATAGATAACCCTTTTCTTTCCTGATGCTAACTAGCTTCTGGTGCCCATAGATTTATGACTGTATATCTGTATATTTATGACTGTATATCACACAAAATTCACAAGAACCAGTGGTAGAGTATTAAGATGACTTTGTTAAATGAGGACCGAGACAACTGATAAGAACAAACTTCAAACTCTGCTGATCAACAGTCTGCATGTCAGAGCCGGTTCATCTGTGATTCCCTCCCTGCGTATCGCAGGCAGAAGTCATGACAGACACATTATGTAGCAAGATATGCAGACAGTATGCCAGTCAATAAGGATGTGCCAAAGGTTGGCAACAATGACACTTACCTACACCCATTAAAGTCCCCAGAATGGTTACAGCTCCAAAACATATCCATAAACTGCGTATGGTCGTCATGTTCCAACTCCTCTCCAGTGCACTCCACAGTACTTTGATTAACTATGAAGAATGAGGGAGAGAAAGACAGTGGGAGTAAAGACAGTGGGCAAGAGCCCTAAATCCCTTCCACCGAGCACCCTGACTGTCACTCAACCCTGCTGTCGCTGCCCGTGGCTCAGGTTACACAGCAGCTGGAGGCACTAAACCAGGCCTTCAAGTAACACGCCGGTCACCCACAATAATCATCATCATGATCATTAGCCAACCGCTACAACACTGCACATACTTGCCCGTTTGTTCTAAATCAGGAAGTGTGCCCCAGCTTTTCATTGGTACTATAATTACGTTTAGTTGGCATCTTGGAGCTGGAGAGATAAACTAAAAGAACAGCAAGGAGAACAGGTGACCGGCTGTGCGAGCCTGTTCTCCTCTGCTATGTGTCCTGGGTATTTATACATACAGCAGACTCCTACCGCCTCAGCTGCAGGACACCAGCAATCAGAGCCTGTTCTGAATATTGGAGCTGAAGAAAAGGAGGATAATAATACTCACAAAACACTCAAAACCAAGGAGACAATGACTTGGACCTGCTCTGAGATAAGTCACTTAAATCTTGTTTATTCTCAGTCTGTTCCACCCAAGTAACAATTTTATAATGGTTTAATTCCAAATATCAATTCAGTTTTTGCTTTTACAGTTTACGCTGTAAGTAATGCATGTTTCTCTCGGCAGTGAGAGGGCAGCAGTCTGATTTTTGGAATGTGCCACATGAGTTGCTCAGTATGTGATGTCCTTCTAAATATATAGTTAGGAAAACAGAGATGAGCTTCTTTAAGGTAACTGGAGCCTGCAGATGGCAGATTGTGTGTCTCGCACTCACAGCTCAGAGACAGAAGAGGGGCTACCAGCCTCCCAATCCAAGGCCTTCCGAGCAAAATAATTTAGTGTACACAAACAAAACTGAGAAGCAAAAATGGTTCTCAAAAATGTTTGTTTGGTTTGCCGAAAAAATCCCTCACCTTTTGATAAACATTTCACAAAAACTCACAACATGTTCTACTTTACTTGAACAGATCTAGAAGTGTACTATCAAGCAGCCCCATATCTTTTAAAGTGTACCTTTGATTGGCCACATCTTTAAAGAATGGCCTATTTCTCTGCAACAGCCTGGGCTAGGTATTTATTGGATTCGGTAGTTTGAGCTATCACCTCCTCAACATTTCTTATCTTATCTAAACAAGAACCGCCCAACATTGCACTTTGATTAGGGGTAAGGTTTTTCATGCAATCTGGCCAAAAGTAATATATTAGTATCAAATTTCATGATTCTATACAGTGTGATAGCATTTACCTGAAGCACGTTTGAATGCATTTCATACCAAGAAAGTTTTAATGATATATATTGGGCTTTTTGTCTCTGACAGACTAGGACTTTTCGAGATAAACATATTCTTTCTTGGCTGATTGATGATTTAATTTAAATCGTACTGCCTTTTTTTTAAACAAAAATTATGCTGATGATTGCTTGTAATTGCAATCAAAGTGTCAAACAGTACTTCACAAGTGTGTTATTTGATATGATAATTCCTCTTAGTTTAAGTTTAAGTGGATGTAGTCAGTTTTTTTTTAAAATACACAGAGAATAGTGGATATTAATTTCAAGATAGTTTTTTATTGAATAAAATTCTAATTATATATAGATCTGTTATTTTTAAGGCAAATGTGAGCATGCACAACTTTAAGGATTAAATAAAAGAATCATTATCTATTGTGGATCATTTGTTTGGTTGTTTCTTCCTTTTTTTCTGAATGTCTTACAAGAGAGAGATGGAAAATGTGTTTACCCTGGTGGAAATATTAAGATTGTGTTGCCTTATGTAAAGGATTTCAATTTCTTTCTGAGTTTGTATTATTTAATCAATAAATATAGCTACAACTAATGCAGAGTTATGATTATTCACTCCCAACTTAAATACTTTGTGGAGGAATTCCCTCTATCTAAAAGTTTTGTACATGTCATCACTTAGATCTTTGTACTTTCTTCACAATAAATGTCCTTCTTTAAGTCACACCACAGATATTTAACCGGATTTAACATTCCAAGACAATCATGGTTTTCTTGTTAAGCCTCCTGATTTTTTCTTTAGCAGTATATGTAAGGTCTTTGTCTCTCTGAGCAACTTATGCACCAGTCTCAGTTATCTGGAAGAGAGGATTTTCCACAAGACTTTTTTTGTATTGAGCGCCATCCACAATTCCCTAAGATATTTGTAGCTTAAGTAAGTCTACAGACAGACTTTGTCTTGGTATTTTTCAGCTTATTCAGGATTCTAGATAGGCTTTTGTTACCGCTCTACTTCATGCCTCCCTTGCCTGATCTGTGAATTTTGGTAACTGGCCTTTTCTTTTCAAGTTTTTTGGAGTGCTTTCATTTTATTTTTTAGCGTCTTCGTTGTGCTACTTGCTTGACGGTGTCCCTTGCTCAGAGGTTTTTCAGATTTAGATGTCCTCTGAACTGTTTGTATACCTCTAACCTAATCATGTAGTGCCCATGCAAACAAGGGGACTAATTTCAGACTATTTGAAATTTGATATAATGTGTATCTATGAATCCTGTAGACTTTGCTGTAAAGTTAAAACTTTGTTCTGTTTAAGTTTCTACTTTATTCTTTGAGTCAAGTCTGGGATGAGTTTGATAAATACTAAAAGTCTTGCTGCTGTGGTCAGTTGTTTTGAACCTTCAGATGTGGCTCTGGTCCACGACTGTCAAGCAACAGTACTGGAAAAATTAGCTTGATAGACTCTAACAAATATATGTATACACAAATGTGTGTATGCAATGTTAGCAGCTGGTTCTTTCACGTTCCATCTGTTTAAAAAGATTCTTAGACTTGTGTGCTTAATAACAGCATATGTGAGGAAAAACATTTTGAGTTGCTGAATGTGTCACAGGTTTCCCATCAGCACCTCCTCCTTGGCAATTGCTGCAGATTTCTCAAGAGGTCATCCATTGGCTGCACATAATAAAGGCTCTAACCAGCCCCCCCCTTCAACTTCGTAATGAATGGGGCTTCTTTCATTTCTTTCCCGCTCCTCTTCAGAAAATGCCATTGTTAAGTTCTCCCTCACAGGCTCACATGTGGTGCAGCTTGAGTGAGGAGTTCAATGTCTCCAGACCAACCCTTACATGCACTGATAGAGACCAGGCACTTGGGCTCTCAATATCATCGATTATCAGATGTGATAACAACGCAAAGACTTGTTATGGGTCATATCAGTAAGCCTATTTTACTGATTTGACTTAGGCTTTAGATTTCAGAGGCTGATCAGAAATCACTGAACAGTTTCCATTTTGACACAAACAATATAGTTAGTTTCACAGTTGCATCAGTCTTAGCAAAACGTTTGATCTCAAAGAAGAGGATGGGTGTCAAAGCTCCCTTTTCCTAAAATAATCTTAAACTAGCTAAATTAATCTTGTTAGCTTTCTGTGTTTTTACTTTCTCTCTTGGCCCCTTCATTGTAATAAAAATGAGATTATTTGTGATTGACAAGCATGGATTTGGTATCAGGTCCCCCTCTGCTGTGCAGCCATCAAAGACATTCTGATGGCTTACACCTGGGTCTAAACAGAGGAACCCTCCAGGTTGTCATGACCTTTAAACAGTAATTAATTATTCATGCTATGTCCCCACAGCAGCATGATTTGAAATCGCTTATCAGCACTGTTAAGTGTGTGTGTGTGTTGGGGGGGGGGGGGGATGGGGGGGTTTTTTTGTGTGTGTTTAAA